TTTCTGCTGTGTGCTTGCTCCTGAGACATGTAGTAGCTGTCAGTTATCTTTACAGGATTGTTGACTTTGCTCTGATGTAATTTAGTTTTGAAAATGTGGAGCATATTCACTCTGCTGCCATCTTGTTGGGCTACCTAACATTTTGAAATTAACTTCAGTTTTGTGAGGCACAAGGCAAAAGTCTCCCACCCATCTGGGTTCTTCTAGGTCCAGTAATCAGAATAGCATCAGACAGGCTGGCAGAAGCAAAAGATCAATTTAATCTAGGAATTTAAGAATTCATGAGGATTCCAATCTCAGTCAGAGAGAAGAGGGCATAAATCCTGAATTAAGGAGTAAGGTAGAGGCCTGGGGCATCAAGTAGGGAGTAGAAATTGACATACAGAAGAAGGGTGGCTCATGTTCACTCTGCAAATAAGATGAACTTCTTAAATAGAGAGGACAGTTCTGCAGACAAACTTACATCTGGATAATTTCCCCAGTCTTCATTCTTCTTCTTCCGTTAGAAAAAGGGCAAGAACTATAAGCTGCTCCTCAGACTAGAGTGCCTCAGTTGACCTCATCGCAAAATAATCTGTGTCTCAAAGTGACACAGAGGAAGCAAAAATTTGAGATTCTTGGAGAGGTCCATTTGGAGAATCATGGGGAGGCCTATTCTGAGTGCCATCAGTTTTTATCTTTAATAAACAGTTGAATAATAATAATAAACCATATAAACTTGGAATTGGTTGTAATCAATAACTGTTATTAGAAAAAAAATGTCCCACTAGGTATACCTTCATTGGAAAACAATTCCCTAAAGAAAGATTATTATTAAGAATCATATGTGAGAATATTATATTTCAACTCCAAGTTTTATAAAGAGCTTTATGGTTGTGCAAGCATCACCAACCCACTATATGCTAAAAAGAATCACAAAACTGTGATTTTTATGACAACATAGCAAATCAAAAATTTGCTAGAAAATGCAAAGCACAAATGTTGTTACATAATTTAATTTTATTATACCTGTAAGCGTCCACAGGCAACTATTATTTTTTTTCTGTTACTCAAAGTGTTGCTTATTTATAAAATTCAAGAATTATTAAATTCTTCAACTTTGAATTGAGGTTCAAATAATCCAATGTCGTTTTCCCTAAATAAAGTAATTGGCTGGAGAATATTTTAATCATGAAGTATTTCAAATTATTCTTTATCAACTGAAAAAGACTGAAATGTGTTATTCTTATCTTAATTCTTGATTTTTTTGCATTAGTAGTATCTACCGAATTCTGTTTCTTGGGAGGTTTGCAGAAAAAATCTTGAAATAAAATCAGTATGTTTAATCTTCTAGATTGGTAACTGCATAATTTTACATAGCTTACCCTGAACAAATTCCTTGTAATTTAGTATATTTTTGTAAAGAACACAAAGTTCTAGCTTAACTGCTTTGTTTCTTATAGTTAATATCATTTATATAGATTGTTGTGATAGTAATCCTCTTCTGTGAATACACAGCTTCTAGAAAGGAGATTGGAAAATTGGGGGTTATTATAAAATATTTCCTCAATATTGAAAAATTCTCTTATAGTATTTCAATTACATTTTACTTCTGAATTTTAATAATGTATGTGACTAATGTGTATGTATATATATATATACAAACACATATATATACACACACACAAAAAAAAAAAACACATAAGCATCATGAGTTGCCTCCTTATAGGCTGGAGTGAATTCTTAAGAAAAATTGGGCATTTGAAGAGAAATATTTAGGTCTCTTAGATCCAGTTTCCTCTTGAATAGTATTAACTTAGGACACTTTGAGGTTCTCTGTTCACAACATGATCCTCCTTCACTAACCACTCCATGCCCATGTCCTAAGTCCCAGTTTTAGAATCTAAAGTATGCGCTCTGTCCAGGTCATGAAGTTTTAGCTTTTGTTACTCTAGGTTCCCCTGAAAGCAAAACAACAATAAATTGGAGGAGCACTGATTGAGGTAAAGAAAATATCTAAGCTGAGTCAGCAACAAACACCGTATTTTGAGGATAAAATTCAGGACTTTTTCATTAGTTATGAAACTTACTAAAATTAAAGATAAGGTGGATGTAACGTCATTGAAATTTTTGGTGGAAAATGACAAAGGAACGTGTGTGCTCATGTATGCATACATACACACATATTTGAAAAATGCTCTGTGTAACAATATAGTATAAATATATTGTGCTACCCATCTCACATTTCTTAGTCAACCTAAAATTAAAAGGTGGGCTTTCTTAAGAAAGTATCTCTGATAGCTGTCAGCAAGCATGGCTCTCAGTATTTATAAAATCAAATTCAAACACTCACTCTTTGGAGCCTATTTGGAGCCTCACAAACTCTTGTCTCTAAGCTGCTAGGTTGAGACTTTTATGTGAAAAGTAAGCAATCTCACTTACCTTCCTGTGACTAGGAAAGAATACCCATTCACTGGTTTCTCCTTATCAATGTCTACAAAAGAACAGCAACATCCTGTTCTCTCCTTGTAGATGATTAGGAAAGAACCAAGAAGGCCATCTGCTGATTGCTACAAAAGATATCACACTGGGCCTCCCCTGGTGGCGCAGGTGGTTGAGCACAGCCCTGTGAAGCTGTCCGCAGCCTCCCAAGCACCGGTTCAATCCTAGCCGGCTGGCGAGGGTCCCACATGGCGAACAGTTTTGCCTGCTGCTCCCCTCAGCAGTGTATTTCAGTCAGTCTGCCTGTTCTGTTCCCCACTCTGTCTCTGGTGAATCCCCCTCCCGCACATCTGGCCTGTACCCCAGTTCTTGTATAAATAAATAAATCTTAAAAAAAAAAAGTTGTCACACTATACTTTTTATTTGAAGACTCCTGTCAACTCATCTAAAAGTTTCAAACAAATGCACTAACTATAAGCTTAGCTTGATCATTCCCTTGCTTGATCCTTGATCCCTGATCCTATGCTATCACCCTGATGGAACAGAACACACCTTTGTGTCTGTGGACCCAAATCATAATTCCTACACTCGGTCTTATTCTCAACTAAACATTTTCTTATTTATTTTACAATCTGATTATTTCTAAATTGGCATTATCTTATAAAACAGGATGTGTATTCTAATGAAAGAATGGCATTCATAAAGATGGATTTACAGAGTTGTAAGGTGAGGATAATCAGTATTCATAGATTGTACATTATTTAGAATGTCCCTTTTTGCCCTTAAGAGAAATTGGAAGTAGGGCCTCTCTGGTAGTGCAGCCGGTTGAGCACAGTGCTGTGGAGCTGTCCGCAGCCTCTGCAGCGTGTGTTCCATTCCTGGCAAGCCAGGGAGAAACCCTCACAGCATGGCAGACCTCTCCCGTCTTGCCCGCTGCTCCCCTCAGCAGTGTATTTCAGTTAGTCTGCCTATTCTGCTCCCTACTCTGTCTCTGGTGAATCCTCTCACCCTCCCGCACCTCTGGTCTGTACCCCAGCTATTGTATAAATAAAAAAAAAAAAAATCTTTAAAAAAGAGAGAGAGAAATTGGAAGCACAGCATATTATTTTTGGCTATATACAAACATACTGCCATAAAAATACTTTCAAATACCATTAACTATTTTAATAGGAAATAAGAATAATTATTTTCAAGGATTCAGTCTTTTGGTGTTTATTTTAAATAATAGGTAAACTCTTAACAGTTCCTAAGACAGTAACTAGCAGATAGTTGGAATAAAATATTTATTGAGAAAATAAATGAACTTGCTGGAATTTTGATTTACTAATATATATAAAGAAAAAGCCCTAAACTTGATTTTTATCACAAATATTTGGTTCCTTTACGGGGGGAAGAAGAATGAAAGAAAGAAAAAAGGAAGGAAGGAAGGAGGAAGGAAGGAGTGGGAAGAAAATGGAGAGTGAAGTATGAAGTGGAGGGAAGAGGGGGAGAAGAAAGAACAAAAGAGGGAAATTTCTAAAATATGTAAGAATACTATTTTTTTAAGATTTATTTCCTATGCATCCAAGAACTGAGGTGTAGGTCAGAGGTGTGAGGGGTGAGAGGATTCACCAGACACAGAGTGGGGAGCAGAACAGGCAGACTGACTGAAATACACTGCTGAAGGGAGCAGCAGGTGAGGCAGGAGAGGTCTGCTGCACCATGAGGGTAGCTCCCTGCCCAGAGATTGAACTCCTGCTGTAGTGACTGCAGACAGCTTCATAGGTAGCATCTTAACCTCTTGCACCACCAGGGAGGCTCCAATGACTACTTTTTATTTAATCTCCTTTTTAATATTTTTATGTAAACATTAATATATCAACTCTAAAATGGAAAATACTGAGCTTCAGATAAGGTCACAGAGCTAGTGAATCTATCTCTAAAGTCTATGGCATTTCCAGCACACAGCTCTGCTTGTGTGATACAATAGTCCTGGGGTACACATTGCATTCCCAATTAGATCTCCCAGAAGAATCTTGCCCTCAATATTGAGATGAGTGGGTGAAATTAACTTGGATTATTTATTCTGTATTATAATTATATTAAGCCCATTCTAATGATATTTCATCATTTTCTAACTTAATGCATTTGAAAATATTGTAACATCTTGTTATTTTAAAAGGAACATAATGAGGCTAACTATAAAACATCATGCTAAGTTCCAAAAAAAGAAAAAGAAAGTCAGAGAGGAGGGCCTCCTCTGGGGGCACAGGTGGTTGAATGCCACACTGTGAAGCTGTCCACAGCCTCTGCAGCGTCGGTTTGATTCCAGCCCACCGGCTGGCCAGTGAGGGTCCCAGATGGTGCGGCAGACCTCTCCTGTCTCGCCCGCTGCTCCCCTCAGCAGTGTATTCCGTCAGTCTGCCTGTTCTGTTCCCTGCTCTGTCTCTGGTGAATCCTCTCACCCTCCCATGCCTTTGGCCTGTACCCCTGCTCTTGTATAAAAATAATTAAATCTTAAAAAAAAAAAAGTCAGAGAGGAAAGCATATACTTAAGTTTTATGGGAAGAAATGATTATGTTCATTTTTTTTTCCTCCAGTGATCACTCTTTGGGGAGTCACAAAATATTTCAGAAAGATAAATCTTTTATTCAACTTCACTTGCAGAAAAATGGGGGAGCTCCAGGAAAACTATCTCGGAAGGTAAGACTTCTTAACATTGGTTTCAGTTAGTAAACTGATCATTTAAAGAACAATATTCCCAACTTTATGGACTGTTGCCAATCTGGAAATATGTAGTTTAATGAATACATATTCATCTGAATATATTTATTGAAGCTCTTCTGCCCATTTTTTTGACTGGATTATTTACTATATTTTTGTTGAGTCGCATCAGTTTTAAGCCATTATAGATGAATTTTATTGCTGCTTGAGCTACTTCAAACCCAAATTGCACAGTAGCAGAGAACTTTGATATTTTGGCAAGTTTTATCTGTAGAATCTTCCAATTACCTGCTTTAACAAAAATCCCATCACCCTGTCATTTACATCAGATTCAAATATCTAGCACATGAAACATTTTTCCTAGTCTGAGGTGTTTCATCATAAAAAGTGTCAGGTGGTACATTAGGTTACAATATAGCTTGGTGAATATAACATAATGAGGCCATAAGAGAGTTATTTAGAAATATCTTTGGAAATGCTACCCAACTCAGCTAGTGCTGACAGTTCCAAGGCTATGTATCTGAAATCTCCACAAATAAACATTACAATAATGAATATCCTTATACTGAATAACCTGAGGCTTCAAATTTCCCTCAATGTTGAAGAAAAATCTGAAATTACATTTCATTTCACACAAAAAGTGAAAACATATTGTTCTAATTTCTACTCTCGTTTAGAAGTCGCACGCTGCTAAAAAGATGACTTATCTTATTGGTATTAATTCACAAAACATTACCGTTTCAGTTTCATATAAATTGAGAGTTATTCTGTAACTCCACCTCTCTGTAATAATACGCAGTGAGCATATATTGTGTATCTGGGACAACATTTCTATTACATTTAATCTTTGCAATACTATGTGGAAAACATTATGAAAATAATGAAACTGAATCACAGGGACTTCCATGGCTTTTCCCAGATCATATTCATGGATCTGGTAAAGCAGAAAAGCTTGGATTTGAGTCTAGTCAGTGATTACCACATTCTAAACCTATGCTGCCAACTAGAGTGATAAATATGCCTAAAATTTGTGGGTTGAATTCAAAGGTTTTGAGTATGAGTTTTAGAGCAGTCAAAATTCTACCTTTATATGTATTGTTTTTGTTTTGTTTTCCACAACTATATCCACATAGAACAAAGTCTGAGACATAAGAAGTGTTCAGTGATCCGTTTCAAGTAACTTAGCTTCCTTCTTGCTCACAAAACAACCCAAATGCCCAAAAATAGATGACTGGATCAAGAAGATGTGGTACATATATACCATGGAATATTACTCAGCATTCAAAAAAGATAAACACATGCAATTTGCAGCAACATGGATGGCGCTGGAAGGGATCATGCTCAGCGAAATAAGCCAAAAAGAAAAAGAAAAATACCGGATGGTCTCACTCATAGCAGGAATCTAGAAAACTTAAATAAGGGACCAGGAAAATGAATATAAGAAAGTGAAAATCAAAATCAACAAAAAACTATGAACCAGAGACACTTTTTGGGGGGTGGGGGGCGGGAGGGGAAGGATTGGGGTCAGAATGGGGCGTTTGCAATTGTATGGGGGAATATAAAAATAAAATTTAATATTAAAAAAAATAAATAAATAAATAAATTTCTATCTTAAAAAAAAAAAAAACAATCCAAAATAAAAATTATTTTACCTTTGACCTAAAACCATATAAAGGTTTTCCTTCTGATGTTTTCTGTCAGAATCTGTTACAGGTAATTTTAAAAATAGACTGTGTGTGCGCTGACATACAAGGTTAAATGCACTCCAGGCATTAAGGAACTCACTCAATTCTCAAACATTTCGCCACCTTGTGGTGAAATGGTGCAATTCTTATGGAGTACTATATACTGCATTCTCCTTTGCAGACTTGCATAGGCTTTTTATGAATGATTGTTACAGAAAAGCTAATCAAGGAGCTAAAAGGGACAGACACACACACACATAAAGTACCATAGGACTGATATTTCAAGATACATAAGTATTGCATTACCTTACATAAAACACAGTACAAAAAAAATTATATTTATCAAGAGTTTCATTAACACAATTTAGTGTTCATGAGAAGTTTTATTTTTTGTTTTTTTTTTGTTTTAGTTTTTGTTTTTTTTTTTTTGTGGGACCCTCGCTGGAGGCCGGGGAACAAACCGGCGCTGCAGAGGCTGCGGGCAGCCTCGCTTCCCAGCGCTTAACCGCTGCGCCACCAGGGTAGACCCATCATGAGAAGTTTTCTTATACTGACATTCTGGTTGCAAGATGTGGTGTAGCAGAAACCTGGAGTTGACTGTATGTCTGCAGGCTGACCTGAAAAGTTGTCAAGTCTTAGATGGCCATGACATGTGTCCTAAATGTAAAGAAAATGTGCATGTATGTAGGAGAACTGGTGTCTAAAATACTGCCCTTTCTGTTCAGAAAATTTAGTGTTTGACCATGGTGATGCCAGCGACTTTTTCAACTGTCCTTCAGGTTTACCCTCAACAAAAGCACAGCTTTCTGACTTACTTTTGGAAAGAATGCTTATACAGTTAAGAAAAGTCTTGTAAGGTCTTTAAAACAAAGTATTAAAATGATGAATGAGGGTTATCAAAAGGTTATGAGGGTAAATAAAATGACAGCAGGAAGTTACAGACCTATTTTTATCTGGTACTCATTCCTATTCATGCTATAAATATTAATATATTCTGCTGTCTACAGCATGAAGATGACCACAGTCAGTTTGATCTGAACCAACTTCTAGAATTTATGCATATTTGGAAAGCATCCAGGTAAGACATTTTATTTCTGTTCCAAGATTACTTTTTGGCTGAGTTCTCAAGTGCCAAATCACAATATTTTTCAGCTGATTGTAAAAACTGTCCTTTCACTAGTTCCATGGAAGATAATGTACTTTTTAAATGATATCTCCCTTTGGCAAATTCTGTTAATAAATATCTATTCTTCACAGCTATTCAGATATATCTGAGGAGCTGCTAACACCTTCCAGAACAATCTAACATTCATTTAAATATATCACTGCTACCAGTGATTACAATTTCAAAGATTTTTTTTCACATTCATTTTTGTGAATTTGAGTATGCATGTGTCACGTAAGCTTTTTGTTTAACTGAGTTTCCATATTTTGAAAGTCACCACCTCCTGCTTTAAATTCCTTTCTGTAACTTCCTAAAAATAATTGGTATATCATAAACAGAGGAGTGTGAATTCAAATTGGAAAACTCAAGTGTCAGCAAATGAACATATTCTGATTCTGTTATTTAAATGTAGGCACGTATTATTTGAAAGAAGAGAAGTATCAAGAAGCTAAGCTGGGAGAAGATCTGCTACAATTTAAGTTTATCTGGAATTAATGTTGTTCTGAACTGAATAAGCAAAAATGGCATGTAGGAGGTATACATACACACACACACACACAAAAGCAAAGCCTGTTATAATATAAAAATATGAGTTAAAATTATTTTAGTAGCCATTAATGAGCTATCGCTTCATGAAATCACAATGCATTTTACATACATTATCTCATCTAATTCGTCCCTTAACTCTGTGTTCATACATACCATCTTCTTTCAGAATCAAAGAAAGTGATGTTCCAGAACATTTAATAATCTGCCCAAGACCACTCAGTTTACAACTGAAATAAGCTCTGTCTGAAATGTGCAAATGCCATACTCCTTATTAAACTATTATGTCTTTCCATGTGTGCCTTTCTTTACTGTGACCCCCAAATATCCAACCTCACACCATAAAATCACAGAATGGTAGCACAAGAAAAAATTTCAGTCATAACCTAATCCAAATTTTCATTATAGCTATTTACATGGATCAGGGATAGGTTCACATCAAGGTGGCATATTAATAAGACATGTTTTCCCTGCTCCCAAACAAATTTATATTAAAAATTCTGTAGAGATATCAAATCTGACAAATTCTGTACAAAGTGGAAGTCCCTGGCTGATAATGAACTGTTTTTAACAGGTTTGGTGGTGGAAGGTAGTGATTTGTAAGTGGCTGTTACCTGAGAAACAGAGACAAGTCAACCTGTGAACAGGTGATCAGAGCAAGGCAGTTTTCATTCCATTCCAGCCTCACTATTATTAACTCATTATTCAAGTCAGGAGTTTTCAGGGAAGAAAAAGTAAATAATGGTTGAGAAGATAATTTTGTACAGTAAAGTCTAGAAGAATCTGTGCTTGACTCATATGTATTCCAACTAAGATGGAGATAAAGCTAGAGAAATGAGAGGCTTAGGAAAGAAAAACACAGAGATCTGATGTCAAAGACAATCACATTTACTACAAGAGTATGTCATTTATTCTGAAAGCAATTCTCTACAAGATGTTATATATTTAACATTTCCTTATGCCAGTATGTATCATTATTTCCTTATAAATCACTCTGAAACTTAACATTTTGAGTTAAGAGTAGTTTAGATATAATGACCCATGTTTGAGAGATATGGTTAATTTGTCACGGATTTCTTTGAAGTTCCAAATTTTATGTTTGTAGCCCATCAAGTTATACAAATTTATAAAATACGTATGAAATGGTTTTAGAAGTATGTCAAGAATAATCCTTTTTTAAACCATTCCTGAATCACAAAGCCAACCTGTGATAAATCTGCAAATGTTTTCCCACCCAAAATGAAGTTGTACTTTTTTTCTTTCAGACAGTGCCTCTTGACAGTAATCAAAAAATATAACTTACATCTGAAATATCTACTGGAAATCCAGGTATTAATTTTGACTACTTCATCTATCAATTCAGCAAGCATTTAACAAGCATCTAGTATTCTTCTAAAACTCTGCAATTTCCTGAAGATTCAAAGATGAATAAAGCAGAGTGCTACATTTGAGAGGCTTTTTTGCTATCATGGCAAAAAAGACAAGTAAGCAGATGCATATAATAGTACCATGGATATTGTGGAAGACCTGTATGTATACAGGACACATAAAAAAAGGTTACAATTTCACTTATTTGATCTGAATGTTGATAAATAATTATGCCAGAGAAGGGACCAGGTGAAAGATATTGCAGAGTGGGGGATAACTCTGCAATATGAACAGAAGCAATTAGGAAACACACTGGTAGGATTAGGAAAACATGAAATTTGGAAGGATAACAATTAGAGTTCAAGATGAGAGCCTAGAAAGAGACCAAATGAAAGAAGCAATCAGGGGTCAAGTTATGTGGGATTTTAAGGACATTTTATGGACAATTTAATGATTTTTTAATTTTTCAGCTGATAACATGGAACTATTATGCAGGACAATAGAATGAAAACTGGTGATTAGAGAAACATTTCATTAGCTAAAAGAAATAATACAAGCATGTACAAAAGCTCTATTATAAGGATGACTAAGAGGGAACAGTTCATAACAGGTGAAAATGTGCAAGATATACATTTGGTGAATTACTATACAACTTGGGCAACAAAGGAACACAGTGTTTAGAATACCTCCATATTTCTAGCTGGTGACTGCATGGAGCCATCAATCCAATAAAAAAGAGAACAGAAATGAGCTTGGTGGGAGAAAATGACTGACTCAGACCAAGACTTGAGATGTGGTCATCTATTGGGAATCTAAGTTGTGGTTAGCAGGCAGACCATTTCTTACAGTTTGTTCTTCCAGGGGAGGATTAGTCTTACACAGATAAAAAATGTCCTTACAGAAAATTAAATAAGATAATGTTCATAAAACAAGTGAGGACTTCTTTTTCCATTAAATATTGGCTTCATACACACACACACACATATACACACATAATATATATAAATGTATGTATACAATATATAAATATATATAAAGGATACAGATCTTAAGCAACTATTTTTAACACTACTAGTCAAGAAATCTGAAAATAATAAATTACACTTGTTGATCTAGACACCAAACTAATGTGAATGCCACATAAATATCAAAAACCAAATATTTCTTCCCAAAGTATAATCCTCTCACTCTAACTCCATTTTTTTTCTTGAGCCTGACCTGAATCTGTAAGTTTAAAATATAGAATGTGAAAAGAATTCACAATTAGATTGTTTTAAGTTTCATAAAGCTGCCATTATTACTTCTTTCAGCTTGATTCATCTCTGTGATAGTTATTTTTCCTAGTGTATAATTTGAAACTTACTAGGTACCTGAGGCATATTATTAATTCATTCCCAGATCATTTATGTACCATGACTGTACACAGATATAATTTTGAGGTTCTAGTAACCTACTTCCAGTGAATTTTAATCATTAAGTATCTCAATGCTGCTTATGTATCATAGACATCTTCTTATACAAGCACACAAATTGTTGAGAAGCCACAATATTTTTTAATTTCTAAATACAGAAATTTGATCATGGTACTCATATACGAAGCTTCCAATACTTCCACTTTGAAAGAAATCATTGACTATTGTAAATTTTTTAAATGTGACTGACTGAAAAGCTGGCAAAACATCAAAGAAATATTGTCTTTAACTATCACTGGAAAATAGTTATCCCCCATATCTGATTTATTTTATGAATAGGTCACAGTGTCTGAGATTTTCCAGATCAACTTCATTCAAAACAATGAGCTTTTTATATGAGATTCTTCCTATGATGCATCAATAGTAAATATCTGAGAAGTGAGGACAGACTGTGACATTATCAGTTCACAATTTTACACTTTCTATTTATTTGACAAGTGCATCAAATTGCCTTTCATCAATGTCAAAAATAGGTACAATTTGAAAAATAATGTTTTTATATTTTTCAAACTTTGATTATTTCACATTATTGGACAGAAAATAGTAAGTAAGCAAGCTAAATAAATATGGCATGAATATTATTGAGTCATATGGATAATTTAGTTTTCCAAAGATTTTCTTTGCTCAGAAAAAGGTTATATAATAAATTTCAGGCTTGACTTATTTAAGTCTGCATATCTTGGCTACTAGGTTTGTACATTTTTTCCATACCAAGGCATTTTTTTCCTCTTTTCTATTTCACTGATACTCTGAAAGTTAAGTAATATTTTCTATATTCACTCTATATTTTGTAGTGATATCTAGCATTTTCAGAGAAGTTAAGAGAATTAAATTTCCCCAAAGATATAACTGAATGCTTTTGTAATGAAAATTATGAAAGTATTTACTCATTGGATTCAAGAAAATAGAAATAGGGACCATGCTCTAAAATTGTTGATGGTCTAGTTGGAAGTCAGTAAATTCACCTAAAGAGTAAAACCTTGTAGAACAAGATTTCAATCTAGGTGAAAGAATCAACTTCTGACTTATGTATTGTCTCCAAAATTTTACAAAATTGCCAAATTTTAACTGTTAGAGAAAGACAACAACCACTACCACCAATGACAAACTTACACCAGATTCTAGTAACTGGTAAATTAATTATAAATTATGTGGATCAGAATTGAGAAAAATCTACTTATGCTTCAAATATGTGGTTGAATTTCATCAAACATCTATCTGATTTGAAAAGAGCTAGGAATCTCCAAACCTTTTAAACTACACTCAGAGGTTATACCAACTAGATACTAGAAAACCAAGGGATATATTATACAGTATTAAGCTACTTAGTGATGAAAATTGAGTAATAACTTATTTCACACATTTTCCTCCCTAACTCCAAACTAATATTCACCAAAATAGAGGTAGAAAATTTCACATATAAGTAGGAAGAGGCAACGAAAACATTTTATAAAATGTATTTAGGTTTTTTAGAACTTGAGCTTTCTTAGTAACAGAAGATGTATTGGTAGATATTCAGTAATTACAATTTCAAATATAATTCAAGCAGAGTGGCAGAAAGGACATAATTTAGGAGGCAAGGCTCCAAAATCAAATAACGTATATGTCAACCCTCTGCCACTATAAATGTTTTGTATTTAATTTTCCTAGGGTTCACATTATTCATTGCTAGAATGAAGATAATAAAATAAAACAATGATATTTTTAAAAATTAATGAAACAGTGGATGTAATGTGCTTAGTATACACTGGAAGTCAGTGTTCAAGAAAAGTACAAGTGTTATTTTATTACTATTAGTGATTCTTTTTAATACTATTACTAAAGTAGAGGATTGTATTGGATTCAGAAGAAAAATGTCGCAAAGCTGATTTGCATTCACAATAGAAAAGGTGGGAAAAAAGGGGGAAAAAAAACTAAAGGAAATAGGAAAAAATGAATAGGTCACAAGGACTAATTGAAAGGTCACAAAAAGAGAAATCAAGAAGATGATGGAGATAAAGTCAGGTCACAGGAAAATAAAATAAAACTGCAGAATTGGAACCTACCTGAGCAGAAATAAAGGGCAGATTGAAGCTATTTAAAAGTCAAACCAATTATATATAGAACACTCCCAGACTTGGAGAAGAAAAAATGAAAGTAGATCTTCAATAAGAAAGATAATCACTAGCCAACATAATTTATACTCCCAGTAAGGTAGAAAGCATTGAAGGATCATAAAAGGAATACATGATTTTGAATTTTTGCAGTGAATCAGATAATACATGAAGATTATACACACAAAAGAATAACAATAGGACATGACTCTTATTAAACAGTAAGTTTAGGAACAAAATACTGCAGAATAACAGATCTGCCTCTGTGCCACTTCTTATCTTTTTCTCTACATAAGAGATATCCTTTGGTGTAAAGCATTTGTAGTGCATCTACGAGTAACACAAGTTTAGATTTCCTAAAGATAGATCTTTCACTCACTATTGTTTTTCCAATTTATTCACTTTGTTTCCTGTGGTTTTGATTTGTTTTCATTGTTATCTAGCATTCAATCAGATGAGTGATACTGAATTCATTAATCTATTCTGAGCTAATAGTACAGGGTTTTCTACCTAGGATCATATTTACAAGGTAATACCAAATACCTTTCTAATGGGATCATATACATTACACAACGATGAAAATTCACACTGCCCCATTTTCTCAACAATGTTTAGTATAGTCCAATTTAAAAAAATTTTTGCCTACATGAGGTGTATGTAATTGTTTCTTTTTAATGTTCATTTCCTCTGTTGACTAATAAATTTGTAATGCTTTTTTAAAAGGACTTATGTATTTATGCATACAAGAGCTGGGGTATAGGCCAGAGGTGAAGGTGAGGGGCTTGGGGGCAGGGTGAGGATTCACCAGAGACAGAGAAGGGAGCAAAACAGGTGGATAAACTGACATACACTGCTGAGGGGAGCAGTGCGTGAGACAGAAGTCTGCTGTGCCATGTGGGTTAGCTCTCTTACTGGGGATTGAGTTCCTGCTACAGTGGCTACTGAGAGTGTCACAGTGCTGAGACTTAACCCCTTGTGCCACACCAGGGAGGGCCCTAAATTTGTAATTCTTTACTGTTTTTAAATGTAATATCAAACTATCATTTTTGTAATTTACATATTCAAATTTTTATTCATTTTCCACATTTATCTTTTTCAGAAGTGCCCAAATGCCTCTTTGCAGTAAATGCTTCCCACTCTAGACACTATGTACTAAAGACTTCTCTCTATGACTATTTCTTTAGTCTTGATCTTCATAGAATTTTACAAGTAGTAAGAACAGTATCCTTGCCTGGTGGCTAATCTTAGGGAGAAAGTCACCATTAAGTCTGAACTTATCCGGAGATTTAGTAGTTACAGTATGAAGTTAATTGCCTTTTGCATGTCTGTTCCTAATTTGCTGAAAAACAGTATGAATGGGTGTTAAATGTCTTGGAACTCTGTCACTGTGTTTTCTGTATTCATAGAGATGGGCATGTGGTTGTTCTCATTTATATAAAAATGTAAAAGATATCTTTGCATTACAGGAGCAAATAACAATTAACGTGGTATCAGAATCTTTTTCATATTTTTCTAGCTTCAATTAGCTAATTTTCTATTTGATATATTTATATCTGTATTTATAAGGAACATTCATCTACATTTTTATTCTTTTGTAATGTTGAGGTTTGATTTTGTTATAGGACTAATGCTGGCCTTATACAAGAGATTGACAAGCAGGGAATTTGAAAGCTGAGATTGAAGCAGGAATACAGAAAAACAAAAACCCTGGTACATAGACCACACTGCTAGTCCACATAGTGTCTCATACCTAGAGGTCTTTAAAACCTCTCCTTCTGAAAGAACTTGATATGTGGTGTCATTTCTTCATTAAATTCTTGATAAAATTCACCAATGAAATCATCCGTTTGGAATTTTCTTCACGGGAAGTAGTTTAATCATGTATTCAGCATCTCTAATTGACCTTGAATTACTCAAAATTTTAAGCCATAATTTTTCCTATAAATTTGAGCAGCATTCCATAAATTTTGGTATGTTGGTCATTATCTTTTTAAATATCTCTTTACCCTATTCTTATTTTTCCAGAACTCTAATTGTGTATATAACTTCTCTGATAGTTCTTAGATATTGTGTTCTGGTTTTTCTCCCCATTCTTTTTTCCTTTGTACTTCAGTTATGCTTCAGATAATTTCTTTTTACTTATCTTCAACTCCATTAACACTTTTCTTGTACTCAACCAGTTGATAAGCTCAAAGAAAAAAATTCTTCATGTGTAATATTTTTATAACTCACACTCATACAGTTGCCATCTCCATCCTCGTTTGTTCATGAAATTCCCTATTTGTTGTTCAGATTTACTACTGGGTCCTGAAACATGCTAATCACAGTTATTTTAAAGTCCTTGACTGTGTGCCCCAATATCTGGGTCATTTATTAATTTGGTTTTGTTCATTTTTACAACTAGTGACAATGGATTGCTTTATCTAGTTTTTTTGATTTGATCCTAATTTTTAATTAAATGCCAAATATCATATATAGAATACCACCAGAGATGGGGCAGACAACATTAAATCTGGAAATAAGCAATGGTATTTTTCTGTTACGCTATTAAAATGTAGGACTGATATAATCTAGTGATGATTGGAACTTTGTTTTGCTGTTGCTATCATTCATGTCAGGCATTTCAGGTTTTAAAGTCCTCCAGGTGTGAGACATTACTATGTAGACTAGCAGTGTGGTCTATGTACCAGGGTTTTTGTTTTTCTGTATTCCTGCTTCAATCTCAGCTTTCAAATTCCCTGCTTGTCATGCCTCTTTTAATACCTTTGTCTCTCCACCAACAGTGTTCTGCTTTTGATTATTATTCAAAAGACTAATTTTTAATAGATTAAGGTAGTTCTATGTTGTAATGACCAATCACAATCTTAGGCAGACCTTGTTGTTGAGCCTCAGGATTGAAACTTTCTGAGCACTCCTGTCCCTCCTCCACATGGCAACCAAATTGTACCTTCAACCAAATTGCATATGCAATTAGTCTTGAAAGGCAAGAACATTCTTCTTCTCCTTCCATGTAGATAGGATCATGAACTCAAGACAGAAAAAGATCTTCACTTAAGTCCAGAAACTGCTTTCTCTTCTCCTTACCCCAAAGCAAGAGAATTCTGCCGAAATTCAAGGTGACAGAGGGTGTTCTGCCTCTGCAAGTATCTTCATTTTCCTAGACCATCAACCAGCACCTTAAGGTGTTTGTTTATGGGAGAAGGATCCAGAGTGGGCTGGGCTTCATGCCTGTCCCCTGACACTACTGAAAGGATCTTCAGTTTCCTAGACTATCTTCAGTATTTCCCTTGAACATCTGGTTGTTGTTGATGCAAAAAAGCTCATAAATGATTGCAAACTCTCCTTGCGTCTTAGACTCCCAAATATTCCAAATTATAGGCTAGATCACAGATGGCCTTTGAGAATGTTAAAATCTTAGCTGACTCTCTTCATTCTCCTGCATAGCAGTCACCTCTTTTTCCTGTGCACTATCAAAGGACAAAGACTGTAGCTCATTTCACCTTGGAGGGGCTTATCATTTTTGAGAATCTTGAGAATCTCTGATGAAGTCAGGAAAAAGTATGTTTTTTTTTATATAATCTGACTTTTTTCACTATTATAATTGTATAAAAGTGGTACTCCAAAGAATAACTTTTATTTTTAAAGAACAAGTAATAATAGCACTAGTCACTGAATCTGAAATGAAAGTAATTCTAAATTTATCTCCAAATCCATTAACTGAATCTGATATTTTTAACATGTAAAGTTAAATAGAAATTCATTAAGATTTATATAAGTCCTGGAAAATCCCAAGCTGCTACATGGCATTACATGTCTGTTTAAATATTATTACCTTGGTTTCCATTACAGCTAAATGAAAGCTGGGAGAAAACCTTATGCTGTTTGTTTTGTTTTGTTTTGTTTTTCAGAAAGATACACCTGAGAAAGATTTGTCACCAATCTTCTCCAATGTTCACAACACTTTTGAGGTAAGCTTAATATCCAAAGTATTAGAATGCTTCTCTTCAGAGTTTATGATACATTAAATATTTCCAAAGGTATCTTAGAGTGTATCACATTAAATAACATTATAGCATTAAAGAGTCACAGTCTAAAGAGTCACAGGGTTCAAACAAATTTAGAGGTGATCTAGTCCAAATTCCTATGTAATACAAAAATTTCCTCTAAACATTGAACTGCCTGCATACCTGTAATGTGGAGCAACTCTTTCTTCAGTCCAGTCTACTTTATTTTTGAACAAAATAATTTTCACAAAGAATTTTGAGCAAAAATGATTGCCACTAGATTATCAACCTTTTGTTCTAATTTATCATTCTAGAGTTACTTGCAGTAAATATAACCCTTTTCACTTGAAAGATCACTAGTTGAAATGTTTCCTTTTTCTTTTTTTCCAAGCTAAATTCTCCTAATACAATCAACTATCTCTGCATTATGTCCATTAAATTATAGTCTAATGTCCTTGTCTCAGTACTTAATGTGTTCATTTTTGAGACTCAAACTTCCTTCTCCATCATCTAGATGTTCTGCCAAATTTTCATCTACCTAGATTCTCTCTCCAGACAGTCACAGTCAAATTCTTGGCCAGTAATCATCTGTTTGAAATTAAACAATGTCTAGCTTTGGTGTCTTTGAAATGTCCTACTGAGTTTTATGTCTGTGTCTACAGTAACCCTCAAATGGTAGAGTATCAGCCACCATAAGATTTGTATATTTGAGGTTAATTATTCCCTCTCTACGTGTGTGTACATGCACGTGCCACACACTGCAAAGGCACACGTGTGTATATTTTGTATGTTTTGGGGTTAGAAAAGTGTTTCTATATAGCAGTTTTGCTTTTGCCTGGTTCCAAAATGTCTCAATATGCTAGCACAATTTTGGCACAAATTCCTGCTATGGGTAGTATAAATTAATACTCCACACATAACTCATAAAACAATTTGTGGGTAAACTCTTGGATAGAGAAAGCCTTCCTCAAAATTTCTCAGTCACGGGCCTCCCCTGGTGGCACAGTGTTTGAGCACTGTGCTGCAAAGCTGCCCGCAGCCTCTGCAGCACCAGTTCAATCCCCAGCCACCGGCGAGGATCCCACATGGTGTAGAGGCCTCTCCTGCCAAGTCTGCTGCTCCCTCAGCAGTGTACTTCGTCAGTCTGTCTTTTCTGTTCCCCACTCTGTCTCTAGTGAATTCTCTCACCCTCCCATGCTTTTTACTGTACCCAGTGCTTGTTTAAATAAATCTTTAAAAAAAATTTTTTTTTTTTAAATTAAACAAAAAAGTTCTCAGTCACTAGCATTGTTTTTCTTCTCCAATCTTTAGCAGGTAATAATGTATCCAGTGGCAGGGGACTGGTCAAGATTTTTAACTCCAGCTCTGCCCCTTCCACCTTACCCACCAACTAGTTTAGATCTAAAATTTTAGTAAATTTTCCACTGTGATAAATAAACACAAATCTCTAAGCCTGAGGGCCTAACACTAGTCTGATTATTTCTCCCAGGCCACTGAAGTATCACTACAGAAGTTACTGCTCAGGTTTTAAGTTTACATGACACAGAGATTTAGCCAAATTTTGTGTTAAGGTTTGCATCTACAATTTTTCTTATAAGTCACTCAGTGTTGGGCCTCCCCTGTTGGCGCAGTGGTTGAGAGCTGGGCTGCGAAGCTGCCCACAGCCTCTGGAGCGCCAGTTCGATCCCCGGCCACTGGCGATGATCCCACATGGTGCGACAGACCTCTCCTGTCTCACCCGCTGCTCCCCTCAGCAGTGTATTTCGTCAGTCTGCCTGTTCTGTTCCCCGTTCTGGCTCTAGTGAATTCTCTCACCCTCCCACACTTCTGACTATACCCAGTGCTTATATAAAAAAATAAATAAATCTTAAAAAAAAATAATAAGTCACTCAGTGTTTATAAGAGTATGCACTGTGTTTGAGTATGTATGTTTGCAGCATCTGCTTTTCCAATCCAACAGTTGCTAAAGCCAGAACTCCACTGTATTCCCAATATCTGAAAGCTATGTCTACTTGGTACAAAGCTCTCTTTACGAAAAGGATACATAAATCACAGTCCCAGCAAAAATCTTCCCATTCTGCCTGTGTTCCCTACCATAACTAATGGTACCCTGTCTTCTTAGTTTTCCTAGTAAGAAATTTTCAAATAATTTTAAATCCAACTTTTCTGTTAGTCCTCATATCTAATTAATTACCAATTGATTAATTTCTATGATTGCAGTATTTCATTTAACATATTCCAGCATCTCAGTGACATGAATGTAACAAATATGATACCTATTTTTCAGAATTTTTGTGATGATTAAATGAGATAGTAGATCAAATAAGTATTACTGTCAGAAAGAAGTAAGAAATAAATTATCTGAGTGACGCATTCAACCCAAGATTTACATTTTTTCCCTGAATATGATTTTTTTTTGTCTTTGTAATGATAATGTTTTGTTAAGAAAGTAATCTAATCCTTTTGTGTTGTGGATCCATATGTTTGCATATGGATAAAAAGGAAAATAAACCATTTGAAATAAACCACTCTAACCCTACCTTAGAATGACTGTGGGGCCAGGGAAGAGTAGATGTTTTTCGAAAAGTCATCACTTTTAATGATATAGGCAAAGTAGCTAAAAATATGGTAGAATGAAAGATGATATCCATGCAATTAACAAAAAAAAAACAAAATTCTCAACATAATTAATGGTAATACACTGAAAAGTACATGGTCAAAATCATACTGATTCTTTTTAAATGAAAGCTTAAGAACATGTACAAAGTTGAGAAAGAGATTAAATAAAATCTCTTTTATGTGACCATAAAATCTGGGTATAATCATCTTACGTGTAGTCAGAAATTTTGATTTTAAGAATTAGTCATTACTGAAGAATATATTTATCTCAGTGATTTTTTCTGAAATATCAGTTGCTTCAAAGATAGTACAATCAAATGATTCCCAAACAGTCCAACATCAAATATGGTTGTCCCAAATTTGTTCTGAAATTTGAGAATCTGATTTTTAATATTATTGCCCCCCTGTACACTGCTTACAAAAACAATTGCACCCTGAAACTCTACAGGGTTTAGTCAGTTGCCTTGTTTTCAGTCTTTGCAGAAAATTCTCCAACCTCCTTCCCTCCTGCTCTAGCCAGTGCTTGCTCTTTCTCTCTCCCACTCCCTTTTCTCATTTTATTTTGGATAATATTAAAGTTTATGTGTTCAATCTTAGGAGTCCTGCTTTTGAGCATTCACTCTATGCAAATTGTATGATCACGCCACAGAAAAATCAATTTTGGGATTCTTCTTTATATATAGGAGCAAACAACCACATTTCATGCTACTTCCTTTTCATGCAAAGAGCTAAATTATAGATAAATTAGCATCATCTTGATTTCAGTGAACTGTAAGAAATGAATCTTGTCATCTACAGAAAAACGTGGATAATATTTTTGAAGACGTTAAAAATATATGCAGTGTTCTGGGGAGTGTGGAAACTAAACAAATTACAGATGCTGTACATGAATTAAATCTAATTCTTCAGAGAAAAGCAGAGGTAAATATACTCATTTATTACAAAGTAATTATTTTGAACCTGAGCTCAATAATTAATTAAGACTGTGTAAAATACTTTTGACTTACTACGTGTGCATGTACACATATATATTTCAATCATTTGAAGGTAATGGAAACTTGATTCTATTATGCTAAGCAAATTTAATTAAAAGGAATTTTTTTTACACATTTGAAGTTATAGCATAGCTACAAACTTGTATATCTACACTACAGCTTTCAAGTAACACAAAGCAATTCTACAATCCTACCTTGCTGAATGTGCTTAAATAATAATATTCACAGACAAGTTTTGTATAGACTGTTAATGGCTTTCATGCCCACCAGCTTATCAGGTGTAGGTGTCCTTGTATGCATGGACAAACACATATATAGGAGAGAACAGATGAGTTGTCTTTCTGGTATCTTTGCTGAATTGCAATGCACATTGCTTCTTTAATCCTAATCCCTGCAATGATTTCCTGCTTTATTTTTCAGTTTAAAAAGTATTATGTGATTTCTTTAAATCTCAGAAAACTGAGGTCGAATAATAGATGTGATTACTGCCTAAGAAATAGATTAGGAAATCTGGTCATGATAAATACATTCAATCTTGCTATTATATTAACAAGTGATAAAACAGAAGGCTATTAAGATGATAATGATGATGATAATTACAATGTATTGCAATGGCAAAGTAGTTTCATTTATACAATATTTCATTTAACTTAATCTTTATTTTATTTTAATTCATCCTCACAGAATCCATGCATTACTATTTTAATGTTCATTTTATTACTAAACTCTAGTGCTTTAAAAACTTGTGTTTAGAGGATTAATAAGCAGCAAAGGACAGGAAGGCCTTTGGAGTCAAGCCTCTACACACATTCCAGTATATGTATAACTTCATAAGAGAATGTGATTTCTTTCATGTATCTGCATGGAAAGGAACAGTAGAGATTATACTACTGGAAAATTTCAAATGGAATTTGAATTTCAAGTGGACAAATTAATATATTTAAATCATTGTGCTTACTGTTTCAAATCAATAAGTGACTATAAAAATGTATTTCTTATTATTGGGCTTTCTATGTCTTATTTTAATATGGATTTGTTTTTTGTGATATGGTAATATCATGAATATAGAAACTTAAATACTTCATTGCATGACATGAACAGTGGCAACTTGAAGAGCACTGGAAGCACAACACCAAAAGATAATCAAGATAAACACTCATTAAAAATTGAAAACAGGACCTCCCTGGTGGCGCAAGGGGTTAAGTACCGCACTGTGAAACAATCTGCAACCTCTGCAACATGAGCTCGATCCCCAGCCAGCCAGGGAGCAACACACATGGCACAGCAGACCTCTCCTGTCTCACCTGCTGCTCCCCTCAGTAGTGTATTTCAGTCAGTCTGCCTGGTCTGTTCCCCACTCTGTCCCTGGTGGATCCTCTCACCCCCCCAATCTCTGGCCTATACCCCAGCTCTTGTATGCATAAATAAATAAAATTCTAAAAAATTAAAATTAAAAACATAAAGCAATGAAGAGATCAAAATTTGAACAACATATTCAATAAATTTCTAAATTCAGTGAACAAGGAGACAGATATGTCTATTTCTAAGATTTTCTCAATGAGGAAATACTTTCTATTACACCTTCCAACTATAAAAGGAAATAAAATGATTATGTATTCTTCAATACTGTTTTTGCAAGTAGATCTTAAGATCCATGATCTTCACAAATGAAAAAGTAAGAACTCTGACGTGCTCACAATTTAATATGGTCATATTTTTCTATTTTGCACCAGAGTGGGAAAATTATACTATAGTCTTGAAAAGCACATCACCATGTTTTGAAAATAAGTATTTTGATAAATTCAGCAACCTGGGAAATTTATATAATGATAATGAGAATCTTCTAACAGCTGAAGTTAAGTGAAAATTAACTTTCAACAATCAATTCTGTTCTCTCAGAATTAACACATTTGGGGGCACTATAAGCATATATATAAACAACAGAGTTCTTGTAAGTTTGAGTAGTGTTAATAAAAGATCTAAATGATACTGTAGCTTGAATGAAAGTCATTATTATTCCTGGAGATAGTGGGGATGGTGTTTTCTAACTCACACAAGCACCACTTAGCTCTCATTATACCAGGGTCACTGGTTACAGCCAGCCTTATAAAAAATGTGAGCCTCCCTCTGAAGAGGAGAGCAGATGTATAAGAATGGACATGTGTGTTCCCATCTGTTAAAACTACTAAGTTGTTCTGCAACTTTTATGACTGGCTCTCAGAGAATCAGTAGAAACAGACAACTGATCAAAGAATGAGAGAAGTCTATTTTAGCACTTCAAATGATGTTAGAGTATTAGTAGATATGAAAGCTTTATCTTTAAAACATTAATTTTCATGGCAAGTCGACCTCTCCTTTCTCGCCCACTGCTCCCCTCAGCAGGAGCAGCCTGTTCTGTTCCCCACTCTGTCTCTGGTGAATCCTTTCACTCTCCCACACATCTGGCCTGTACCCCGGTTCTTGTATAAATAAATAAATCTTTAAGAATAACCATTCATTTCCAAGTTTCCAAAAAGAACAAAAAGAACAATTTTCTCAGAAATATCACTCAATAGATCAGAAGTCAAAAGAATCTTTCAAGAAAAAAATTGAGTATTTCCTGGGCCTCCCCTGGTGGCGCAGTGGTTGAGCACTGGACTGCGAGGCTGCCCACAGCCTCTGCAGCGCAGGTTCGTTCCCTGGCCGCTGGCGAGGGTTCCACAAAAAAAAAAAAAAAAAAAATTAGTATTTCCTAGGAAAGTTATGAAATTCTTATATTTACATTTCATATTTCATATATATTTGTGAGAACTAAATTGTGTATGATTTTTATGCACACATATGAAGAGCTGACAGTTATCAACTTTACTTCAAATACATTGATGCCCAAAACAGTTCGATATTCCCATCAGATTCCATACACTATAAATTTACTTATTCGTCATCTTCTTCAATTACACTTTATGTTCTTTTTTTTTTTGCATCCTATATTAATTGTGAGCTCATCTATAAAAGAATGTTGGCACAAATAGTAAATATATTTTATATAACTTGTACAGTAATCCAACTGCAGTTAACAGTTTTAAAGTAGTTCAATCAACTCAACATAAACCTAATATTAAAGAACTACTAAGAATTATGAGTCTTCTGCCAACAAATTCAGAAATTTGTAAAACTTTCCTTGGTTACATTTTAGGTTCATTTGCAAGAGACTATTCCTGCAATACAGGGAAGTAATTAGGTATTTATTAAATGGAAGTTTTAGAAGATGAAGCATTGTATCGCACATGAAGTTTTACTCTAGTTGACCTTCCTACTCAGCCATGGAAACAATTTCCATCCTTCAAAATTATATTCCAGGAGCTTACATAACATAGTTGCATTAAATGCTCACATATAAATGAACTACAAAGTGAAAAATATGGCATTACACATTGTATTATGGGTGAATGTCATGGTGATTTTTAAATACAAGTTTATATTTCTGAGTAAACAAATATAGTTAAGTCAGGCTAACATCTTTTTATAGCCTTTACATAAGGTCTTATGAGTAGTTGTTAAGTCTTGTGGTTAAAACGATGCTCAGATGAAATATTTTACCCAGGAGAAATGTTTCTGAAATTCATGTGAATGATGTTTTTAAGTGAAAAGTCGCATATAAATTAACAGTACTTTAACCACAATAGAAATCTCTCTCCAAACTAATACAGCAGCAAATTCTTTGTTACAGGAAAAGTTACTGCTTAGTTTATTTGTATGATACTTTGGACTTTTCATTAATTGGTTTTCCTTAAAAGCAAACTTGCAAAGCCTAATTTTTAAAAATTCAGTGTCAAAATGAATTTTACTATAAAACTGAATTGCTTTTGGACTCAGACATTATTTTTAGTGAACTGGTGAGTCACCCTGTTTAGTTTTCATGAGAATGAAGTTATACCCAGCAAATCCTAAACCGCCAAATTAACCCTAGGCTTCCAACAAAGATAAACAAACATACACACACAGCTACTGTACTACTAATGGACATGAAATTAAATAACAAAAAATGTAAGTTTTTTTTTTAAATCTAGGGCATGATTTAAGTCAAATTATCTTTCTCAGCTTTTTCAGTCTTCTAAAAATAAAGAAATGAAACCATACAGTAAACCTACATAATTTTGCACACTTCCATCCACCCTCTTTTCAGTGCTGCCTGAAGTTTGCACCTTATTGACTACTAATAAAAAGAAATGGATATTATACAGTTGTTGATATATAATCTACACATTGAAATCTATTTAATATTATAACCAATGTTCCTTCAGCAACAACCAAAAACACCACACATACTAATCATAGTACTAGAAATGCATCTATACTGTGGAAAGGGGCTAAGTTAAGGCAATATCTACAGAACTGTTACAATAAGACTAAAAATTTGATGATATTTCAAAGCAAGATATATTTTGTCTTTTTATCATGTTAGAGAAAATTCATTGTTTAGATTTTGGATATGACTGGTTTGGTTGGTTAGTGAATTTGTTTTCTGAGTAACACCCATTTATCTTTTTCAGAATTTCTATCAAAGTTCAGAGACTTCAGTGAAAGGTAAAACACATATGGATGCAATTTTATTTTAAAGAAACAAGTTTCAGGACTCAAAAGAATTTAAAACTTATGATTCTTATCCAAATGTTACAATAACAAACACAAAAGATATTTCAATGGAAAAAATGCTCTGCTTAGGACCCTTTCTTGATGGAAGTATTCTGCAAGTGAATAAAACTCCATACTCTATTATAAACTTAAAGCTTGAGTTTTGTTTTTTTTTTAATGAAGTCAAGAAATCTTTAAAAAAAAATAAAGAAATACTGGAAATATCCTTATGGCCTTACAAAGATAACATAAAATTTTGTTATTTAGTTATTTATTATATTTTGATCTAAGAAAAGTACATGTCTTTCTTCAAAGGCACTAATTTCAATTTTAAATTCAAGTTCTATTTGAAAGACCAATCTAACTTAACAGGTAGGATGATTAGATTCTTGTATAATTAGTGTTCACAGGGGCTCTAAGCCTATAGACTGTAAGGCACAGGAGGACTTCGCCTCTATACAAAATAGTACATGTGTGAGCAGAGTCTGACTTTTGACATCAAGCAAAGCTGGTTTTGAATTTCAACTCTGCCACTTTTTGACTCTGGGATCTTTGACATTTAAACTCTGTGATCCCAAGTTCCCTAACGTGCATAAAAGATAAGATAGTATTTACTGGGCAGCATGTATTGGGGCTGTTCTTGTTTCCACAGGAATATCTGGCATGTGAAACCTTTCAGTAACTTCAATGAAATTGTTTCAGAGAAGTTCAAACTAATATCCTTGGATTCAGAGGTGATAGTAAAGAACAAAGGATAACCCTGATCTGCCCTACATATCCTTTCGGTTGAAAGTTATGTACTAAGGAATGTCCTTTCAACTCTAATTCCATCACTCAAAACACATTCAAATATATTTGAGGGACTCCCCACTTTATATTGAGAGAAAAATGGATGGCAGAGGATATGTACTAGTGCAAAAGTCTCTTTCAGGCATTCATAAAATTCCAGAACATCACAGAGGAAGGGAAGAAAGTGAATACTCCTTAGCAATTTAATACAGAGTCCAAGAGATAGAAAGAGGAATATGAAAGCTGGAGATACACCTATATGAACTGACACACTTTTTTTCCCCCTGTTGTTTTATTTTCACCTGTTGGAACCAAGATCCCTAACTCCATTTTTGACAAAAGCTGGGATGAGATCCCACAAAACTGCAGATTTACATTATATGCTAGATTCTAATTACTGCTTCTTAACACCATATATGCAGTCTCTGTTTATTTCATGATACTGTAATTCTTAACCCAGAATAAAGTCAGGTGTGATAAACATCTTCACATTTCACCAAGATGTCCAGTATATTAATTCCTTCATACATTTCTTATACTTAAAATGTACTGGCTATCCAGTGTTCTGGAAGTAAGTCATACAGCATATTTACACAGCTGTATTCTAGCTGGAAGAAATGAATTACAACCAAGAACTGTATTTTTGCACAAAACGCAGAGTATAGTTTGAGTAATTATCTAAATAATTAAGAATCCCCAAAGTATGTGTTGGAGCTTGAATTTGTAAGATTCCTCACACATGTTCATGGTTTATTGTGGATGTAATCCATTTGCACATGACTAGGAATTATTAACAAAAAGTTTGCCTCAGAGTACCAATAGCACAATTTGGGCTTTTGGAAGCAAGATGTTTCTACAAATTTATATTTCTCTCCCCCGCTGTTGAAGAGAATCCCAGTTGGTTGGCTTCCAGAGTTGGATGAGGCCTCTTTTCAGACTGTTTCTATGCTGCTCTACTCTTCTGTTCCATTAATTGTTACTGCTCATTACTCAGAGAAGTTTAATGAAAGCTCTTTCACTCGGCCTCATCCCCTCTAGCTGTTTCAACAAAGAGCACAATTGAAGAAATATATCAAATAAGTAAAATTTGTCTATCTTAAAAATTTTGTACATATTTATGAATAACTAAGTGAATAATAGCATGTCTTGAACAACAGCAACTAAATGCTTAATTGCAGACTGTGCTGCAGAGGGCCAGGCTGAGAGCAGCCACGACTGCAGGCGCCTGCTGGAGGGAAAAACTAGCTCTTTGTATTATTTTTTCTCGAAAAAACTAGAGACCAAAAGGCGACTTCTGGTTCAGTAACATCTTATGCAGAAGTGCATGTGTTTGAATAAACAACACTGTGACATACTGGGCCGCCTCACTGTGCAGTGCCCTTGTAAGATCACAGTATCTCCAGAGGCGCACACAGTTCTCTGTGCATGTTGGGCCTGGCCGGACCAGGGTTCTCCTGGGCCGCGGTGGTTGGGGAGAGGCAGCGCAAGGGGGCGCAGGGCCGGCGCGGGGGACGGGTCGCTGGGGTTTAGAGACGGCTCCCGGCTCCTGGAGGCTAGGGCACTGCCCCAGGCATCGCCGTGTACGAGTAACGTGGAACCTAGCAACTGGCGTCCAGGCCCCACACAAAGGCAAGGCCCTGTGAACATCCTTTGCTCAGGCTTCCCCTTCCCACCCGCCACTCCCTGGAAAGGGCCACCTCGACCCCGGGTCGTGCACAGGCTGGAGCAAATAGTCTGCGACTTACAAGCTTGAGGCAGAAGTTGAGTCAAGCGTCCGTTCCTCCGTGACCGGCCGTAGAAACCGCCAGACCCTCTGCCAGGCCTTGCCACATGTCCACAAGGCCAGCATAGTTCGGCTGCAGGTGTCCCCACCGCGTTTGCCACTGTGCCGGGAAACAGACCCGATAGAGAGCCTTCCAGATCCATGTGCTGGCACGGGAGCCTGAGGGTGACTCCACTTGCTATGCTAAGTCCAGCCGCCTCGTGCCCCCGCAGTGCAGGTCCCTCCAGAAGCTGCTCTGTCTCTCCTGAGCATTACCTTCCCCAGCAGCGTCACCCCGCGGGTGGGCTGGCTCCAGGCCAAGCTGCCCTTAGGCCCTTTCAGGACCTTGTGCTCATACATCCTGGCAGGTCCGACTTCCCTCCTCAGGCCTGGGTGCAGCTGTGCACAGGACCCCACATCATCCCTATGATGTCCCTCAACAGGCTACACTGGTGATATGTTTCATTTCTCCAGGACCAGGCCCTAGAAATATATAAGTACCCAATATTGTGCCATTTCCATTTCCGTACTTCTGTCTGGTCCAGCGTGTTTTTTTTTTTGTTTGTTTGTTTGTTTGTTTGTTTGTTTGGTTTTTTGTTTGTGGGTTTTTTTTTGGGTTTTTTTGGTTTTTTTTTTTTTTTGCTTACACAGCATTTTCTATCTGCCTCATCTACCAGAAATAGCCCGTGGTAGGCCTATTTCAGCATTGATGAGACCTGACAGCTGCCATCCCTGAAGGGACCCAGGCAAATAATGCACCCATTGTTTTTTGGTCATGACCACAGTAGTTATGTCACCCCTCCTCAAGGCTCAGTCCACAGGGGTTCAGAGGAAAGTGCCAGAGTTTCCATTTACAACTTATTTTGTTTCATACATTCTTTTTATAACTTAAAACTCTTGTCAGCTAAAGATTTTCCTAATTGGGTGGGGAAATGTGCTTTTTAAGTTTGTTCTTCATTTTTTAAAGCACTATTGTAGTTGAATATTAATTGCAAGTAGTGAGCACATTATGATTATAGCTCTCCATTCATTCATAACTACATATAAATAGGGCATCCATTGGTCCTAGTAAGAAGCCTGGGATGATTTTCATCATCCTCATAAGCTTTCTCCATTGTAATAGTGTCACCTCTTCTGACTTGGAACAAAGTCCATCAATCTTTCTGGTCCATTTCATCAGTCCCCTCTATTTCCTATAAGGTAGGAATTTTTTCAACAAAGAGTTTGTTGGGAAAAAGGGAATCCATTTCTACGAAAATTTCCCTTAAATTTGATGATTAAGTGACCCTTTTCATATGGTTCTGCTATACATTGGCATGCCTTCATTTAGTACATGCTTGAAATGTATTAGTTCTTTCTCCTTTTATGTCAAGTGATTTTTAGGAATGCTTAGACTCCCTTTTAATAACTAATGGTAAAACTCAAGATTATGAAGAACTTTGGTGAACATCATAAATCTTTCACTTCAAGCTTGTTTCAGATCCCTGTCATTACTATTAGCATTCATTTTTAATAGCAGCACAATGTATATGAGTGTGTGCAGTTAATGGTGGTTATTATAAGTTTATTATTAATTCTTTAGATAAAATTTGTCTGGAGTACTTACAAATCATGCATAAAACATGCACTTCATCTGAAAATTATTTCTAAATGATCATAAACTAGAATAAAATATACTGCAAATTACAGTTCAGAATGCCAAATTAATAATCCAGACTTGATTTGTGATTAAAGGCCACGCTTCCTAAATTCCTCAACTGAAGATATGAAAGTTTATTGACTATCTACTTCAACAAACCAAAAATGCATACGGATGCACAGATGTCTAATTGGCTTCAGTTCGTAGAGTCATTTTAATTAAATTTTATTTAAATTGCATTATAAATAATTCCAAAGCTGTAATTGATGATTTATGATAAATATGAACTTTCAGAGATGAACTGGCTTTCTCTCCTTTTTTTCTCCCTAGACTTGATAAAGAAAGTGACAACTGCACTGTCCACATCCATCCACTGGTTAATTGATATCTATTGCAACAGCTTTTGTGCAGATTTCCAGCTTCTACATGCACCTGTTAGCATTCCCTGTGTAAATCCTGGGCTGCATTCCCATCTCAGTTTCACAGTGTATGCAGCCCACAACATTCCAGAGACCTGGGTGCATAGGTGAGTGGTGGTGAGTTTTTCATGAAAGTGCTAAAGTTTTATATAGCTTCTAATTAGAGTATAATTTGCCTTTTTTTTTTTTTGCTTGCTGGAGCTAAAGTTTCCTAAAATGTTGGAATTTACTCAGAGTAGATTTACTGTTCTAAGAATCATTTTTAAGCATTATTTCCAATGAATATCCCTTCCCTCAAGTCTTTACCCATTCTCCACATTAAAAATAACTGCATGTTGTCAGTGTATCATATATCACTATGTCATTTTATACATATATATGTATAGATATTTCCATATCATTATGGAATACTCATCCTATTTAGTGATTGCCCTAATATATTTTTATGTTTCACTTAAATGAATAATACCAATTAATAGAGAGAGAAAGAAAATATGAATATATATTCTGCTGCTGTTGGGCAGAATGTTCTGTGTATATCTGTTAAGTTCCTTTGATTTATAGTGTTGTGCAAACCTTCCTCTCCTTATTAAACTTCTGTTTAATAGATTTAGTAGATTGAAATCTACTATTATTTTGCTGCTGTTTGTCTCTTCAAATCTGTCAATATTTGCTTAATATATTTGCTTCAATTTGAGCTGCAAATATATGTACAATTGTTTCATCATCTTGATGAATTCACCCCTTTATCATGTCCTTCTTTGTCTCTTATGACAGTTTTTTTTTAAGATTTATTTTTTTATGCATACAAGAACTGGGGTCTAGGCCAGAAGTCCAGGGGGTTAGAGGATTCACCAGAGACAGAGTGGGGAGTAGAACAGGCAGATTGACTGAAATCCACTGTTGAAGGGAGCAACGGGTGAGACAGGAGAGGTCTGCTGCACCATGTGTGTTAGCTCCCGGGCCAGGGACCAAACTCAGGTTGCAGTAGCTGGTGATAGCTTTTGGTGGCTTGCTGACATTTAACATTTGTGCCAGCAGGGAGGCACTCTTATGCAATTTTTGACTTTTGTTCATATAACTTTGGCTACCCTTGCTTTCTTTTGATTACCATTTGCATAGAATATCTTTTTCTGTCCTTTCACTTTGTATGTATGTTTCTGTATGTCTACATGAGTCTTTTGCAGAATATATATTGTTGGAACTTGCTTTTTTATCCATTCAGCTATGTTATGTATTTTAGTTGTGAAGTTTAATCTATTCGTTTTAAGTAATATTTTTTTAAAGATTTATTTATTTATTTATACAAGCACTGGGTACAGTCAGAAGCACGGGAGGGTGAGAGAATTCACCAGAGCCAGAGCAGGGAGCAGAGCAGGCAGAAGGAACGAAGTACACTGCTGAGGGGAGCAGCGGGCGGCAGAAGAGGTCTGCGCATCATGTGGGACCCTCCTTCGGTGGCCGGGGAGCAGCCTGGGATTGAACCGGCGCCACAGAGGCTGCAGGCACCCTTGCAAACCAGCACTCAACCACTGTGCCACTGGGGAGGCCCCGTTTTAAGCAATTAATGATAGGGAAGGACTTGCTATTGTCAATTCTTCATTATTTCCTCTCAGTTTTTCCCCTTTCCTCTCTTGATGTTTTCCTTTGTGTTTAATTGATTTTTATGTAATAGCATGCATTGATTTTGTCATTTTTTTCTGCTGTATATCTTCTATAGGTAGGCATTTTCTTTTTGCTAACCACGGACTTTAAGACATCTTATATTTACAGATTCTTTTAAGCTACTAATCATAGATCACATACAAAAGTCTACTCTTATTCACTCTCAGCTACTGCCAGGCACCCAGAGTATCCAGTTCCCATTACTGCTCTCAGTTTGGTGAGATAGGATGTTCCTCATAAAAGCTACCTAAAAATGTCAGACTGTTGAATGCATTTTCCACTCTTTTCCTACTATCTCCATCAATGGAGAGGCCACCGAGCTGTATCAGACTCTGTCTGATGTCCCACAGAACAGAACTCTTTTCTTCTGCCCTCACCACACTGTTATTGATATCACATTCTACATATTATTGTATTTTACATACCTTTTAAATCATAGGTTTTTGTACTTTCTCTTTTAAATTCTATAGCATAATTAAAACACAACCATTAGAGTATTCCGTATTTTTCCATATATTTTTCTTTACTAGAGAGCTTTGTATTTTCATATACTTTCATGTTACTATTGAGCATCCTTTCATTTCAACTTGAAGCACTCCCTGTAAGTCAGGTCTAGTGGTGATGAACTCCCTCCATTTTTGTTTATCTGGGAAAGTATTTCTCCTTCATTGTTGAAGGATGGTTTTGCCATATATGATATTGACAACTTTATCTTTCATAGCTTTGAATATATCATCCTGCATACGTGTGGTCTATAAAGTTTCTGCTGAGAAATCTGCTACTAAACTTAGGAGATGCTTTCTTACATGCTGGGTCACTTATCTCTTGCTACTTTCAAAATTCTTTATCTGGGACTTTTGATAGTTTGATTTTAATGTGTTTTTATGTGATATTCAGCTCAGCTAAGTTTTTTACATTGGGTTCTTGAATTTGGATATCTACTTCCTTTCCCAGAAATGAGAAGTTTTTAGCCATTATTTCTAAAGATCAACATTCTGCTACTTTTATTCTTTTAAGTCCTCTGGGACTTACAGATGTGTATGTTTATTGGTTAATGGTGCCCTTCATTAGGCTTCTTTACTCTTGATTCTACTTTTATCTGACCGAATAATTTCAAATCACCTGTTTTGAGTTCACTGATTCTTTCTCCACCTTGGTAAATCTGCTGTTGAACCCTTCTAGTGGTTTCCTTCTAATTAATTATTGCATTCCTCAGTTCCAAAATTTTTACTTTTTTTTAAATATTAGCTATTTCTTCGTTGATATTCTCATTTTATTCATACAGCATTTTCCTGAGGTGGTTGAATACTTTTATAATGGTTATTTTGAATGCTTTGTCAAGTAGTTCATATACTTCCATTTTTTTTTTTACTTCCATTTTTTTAAGGTTAGTATAAGGTTTATTTTACTCTTCTGTTGGGCCATATTTACCTCTTTTTTCCGGTATCTTGTTATTTTGTGTTGGGATCTATGCTTTTGAAAAAAAAAAAAACCTCATGTCTTCCAGTCTTTAAAAATTGGTTTTACGTAGGGAAAGAATGTAACCAATGAGCCCAGCTAGAGATCTAAAGGTCCTTCAAACCTTTTCTGCCCATCATCTCTGGACTTATGTGTATGAATTCTCAATTAGAAAGGTTTTCACTCTTTAAGTGTTCATAATTTCTTATCCCTTTCAGTGTCTTATCTGTGGTATTCCTGGCTCTCTAACCCTATTGAAAATCTGCACAGCTCTTATTTACTCTCAGCTACTGCCAGGCATCCAGAGTATGACAGATAGCACAGATCCTCTGGAATAGCAATAAATTTTCTGGCTCTCTTTTGTCCTCAGCAGCCCATGATCCCTTAGGTCTCTAGAAATTATCACATCCTATCAGTTCCCTAAGACAGGAAAGACAGAAACCAGTCCCTTAGGCAGGGAACATTAGACACACACTCCAACCCTTCCTCTCCCAAGGGAGAAAAGCCAGTATATGAGGGTTTTCTCCTATTTATTTTGCACTGTACTGAAAGGAAAGACAGTGTTGAATGAGTCTGTGTTCCAATCTTCTCTTTTCTCCCTAAGGGAAAAGCTGGAAGTTGGGAGTTTCCTCCTGAACACATTATGTAATGCTGGTAGTTGGGGATCTAGAAAATCAGTGCAATTAATTTTCCTATAGACTTCTGTTCTCTGCACTTCCCTGGGATGCAGATGCTCCTCACTTGGTTTCTGGATTAGGAATTGATCTGTGTGTTTTTGCTGCATTGCTATGTTTATGGGTAAGGAGGTTCTGGGGCTTACTATTCTGCCATCTTGCTGACATCATCAACATAAATTCTTTAGTAATTTTAAGGCCCACTTTATACAAGCAAACATCACTTTATCATTTGACTTTTCACTATAAAAAATGACCTAAATAGAAAACTGTCTCTGCCATAATGTTCCACTTATTGAATCATTGTTGTTTCTTTTTAGCTATAAAGCATTTTCATTTTCCTGTTGGCTTACATATGCTGGAAAGAAGCTGTGCCAAGTGAGAAACTGCAGAAACATTCCAGTCAAAAAGTTATTCTTTTTCTTGGTTAACTGGAATGAAATGTAAGTTTAATCCTTAATCTGTCAGAATCATTTCTCTAATAAGACAACATTTTTCCCCTTTTTTAAGTAAAAGATATGCTTTTAAAAAAATGTTGCCAGTTGATTTCATTCAGTGATATGATAAATACGCTAGCGCTAATAGATAACTGATTAAATTAAAAACCTAAATTAGTGACTAACCTACATTTAACTGGGGGGGGGGTCCTGGAATAAGGAGAATTAGTAGTCATTTATAGATTGTGGATATAAGAAACACACTTTATTTGGGGTTCGACGGAGTTAAATTCCAGATACAACAAAGAAGTCACTTAATAACTTACATAATTTCCATTTCCCACAAATGCCAATTGCAAATTTACTTAAACAATAATTATCTATGCATTTTGTAAAATGCCATCTAATTTAAGGTGATTGGCTCCAATTTTCCCATTTTATAGAGATTACATCAAGAAGGAAAAGTGCCTTTTTACTACGAACCATTCCCTTCTCCTCTCTTCTGCTTCTCCTTAAATTTATTCTTTACTGAGACAATCAGGGTGCTCTTTGACCCCATCTGTGGCTCTTTCATGGTTTACTGCTTCTTTTCCTTGCAATTTCTGTAATATTACTCCTTTATTTTCAATCATTTAATTGTTCCACAAACAGTCAATTTTCTTCTCACCTGAAATGAAGGAAAACTTCCCAGTTCATCAGCTGTTTCAGAAGATTTAACTCTCTTGGGATATAATTTGACTCCAACACTGTGCTTTTGATAAGTAGGTGCCACAATTTCTAGAAGTCCAAGGAAGCTGTTAAATAACACCACCTATCCCACTCTTAATGTGTCAGTGAAGACTGTGTCCTGAGACATGACATGTGGCTTTCAATTTTTACATGCTCCATGGTTCCTCCCATTCCAAAGCAAATCTCCCCTTCTTTGGTTAAATGTCTTCATTCCTTTGACTAAAGACATGACCTTCAATTAAAAATTTACATTTATACACTCAGCATATCTAAAACTAAACTCTTGATCTTACATCCCAAACAGGTTCTACCTGTTGATGGCCATATTAGATGATTAGTCCCAGTTCCAGATATTTAGGTCAAATCCTTAAACCGTGTCTCCTTCTCTCAAACCCTATGTCCAGAAATTCCTACTGCGTCTCCCCTCATAATTCCAGAGTTTTACATCTCATCACATTCCTTAGTGAAGGCCACCATCACCTCTCCCTGTGTTACCACAGTAGACTTATAATTGTATCCCTACTTGTCTTGTATCTTTATACTCCTTTATATAAAACTAAACTGACCTCTTTTAGAATGTAAGTCTGAATATATCATTCTTCTGTTTAAAAACTGAAATGGTTCCCTGTATTACTGAGATAAAGCCAAAGTCCTTATATTGATCAGTTGCTTTATATCAGCATTAATAGGAGAGCTCTAAAAAATGAAACTTTTAAAATCTCCATTTCACTATCAGAAAGGTATTCTAATTTTAGAAAAATGATTTTATTTAGAAGAAAAAAATTAAGAAAAATTTTAGTGCTAACTCATTTTAAATAGCAGAGTAATGCAAACATGGTTAAAATTTGAGGTCTCTGCAATGGGCCTCCCCAGTGGCACAGCGGGTTGAGCACAGCGCTGTGAAGCTGTCCTTTGCCTCTGCAGCGCGGGTTCGATTCCCAGCCAGCCAGCAAGATTCTCACATGGCGTGGCAGACCTCTCCTGTTGCGCCTGCTACTCCCCCCAGCAGTGTATTTCTGTCATCTGCCTGTTCTGCTCCCCATTTTGTGTCTGGTGAATCCTCTCACCCTCCCGCACCTCTGGGCTATACCCCAGCTCTTGTATTAAAAAAAAAAAGTCTTAAGAAAAAAAATTGAGGTTTCTCTGCTAGGTGTTTGGATTAAAAGAAATAATGTGACTGCACTAATTACATGGTCTCTTAAATTACTTTTTTCATTCATTGTCTAAAACTTTATTCATTGATTTTTTTCATTAGCCATACAGAAGTTTTTTAATGGACACAAGAGTATTCTTTTTTTAAAAATCCATATTCAAGAAATTAATAAATACCGAGTTAGAAAGTGTATCTTCCCACTGTAGAGAAATTTATTTTTGTTAATAAAAATGGCAGAATGGAGATTGGCAGTAGCCAACCACTGTAACTTACCAAATTTTTGTCATTTTTGATATAAAAAGCTCACTAAATTACACATACAAAAGTCAGACTCTTTGGGGAAGCATTCTAGATTATATGATGAATAAAGTGAAATCCTAGCTTTAATCCCAGCATAGAAATATGAAAAACAAATTGAAATTAAATCATAGGTAAAAGGGAGAACATCCAAGAGATTACTGTGCATTCCAAAGCATCACTAACATTTTTTGTTGTCTCGGAGCTTCTTTTAAACTGAGAAGTATGTCCACATAATCTTGAATGAATAGCATAAGTGTGAAAGAAAGTACATTTAGTTTTAGATATCTAAATATGTAACTACTTCTAATCTTGAAAAATAGATTTTCATTATGAGTCTTTCTTCACCTTCCCTTTCCTACTTTTAAATAAATTATATTATCTGTCTATAAGGGATAAAGTGAATGATTACATTATCAACTGAATAATAAATATATGGTGATATACAACCTGCCATTTGCCACATACTGTGTCATGCAACATCCATTGCATTTTTTGGTTAAGGAAATATGAGATTTTGAAAGGTTAAATGCATTACTACAAGAAGGAACATCTTATTAGTCATAGAGTCAGTTTTTGAACACAGATACATCCTAATCCAAACATCTGATTGGTCCTCTTCACACACAACTTACATACTGACATCTCATCGTTATTATTAACTCAATGATATTGTGCCCTAAACTGCATCTATTACCCCTACCCCAACCTTTTCCTTCAGTTTCCTGTCAGCTAAAAGTAGCTTTATGTATCATAATATATAAGCCTAGAATTCATCTTTATCTCTTCATTGTTCTGCATTTAATTCTTTATTCTTCACTCCACTAATAGGCTGTCAGTAAATATCAGTTATGTATTTTACCTCTTAAATAGCTCTTCTGGCTCTCCTCTTGTTAACTTCTCTATCTCCCCTTTAATCATCCCTCAAATTCCTAGAATGTCATTATCACCCATAACATTGTACATTTAAAACTATAAGTAGCTATACTTTTAACTATCACTCATATATTTCCTTTTGCCACTAGTAAAAAGCTCAAATTTCCTTGCCTGACATGAAGAGTTCTTAAAGCATTTGGGCAACCCCCTAGCTTCTAATTATGTCTTTCACATCTTCCCTGATCAACTTGACCTATTTCTCATTCTAGGCACAATGAATCACTTATTATTTTTTTACTACATCTTATATTTTAATGAATAAATACCCTTTCCCTTGCACTCTTCTTGAAGTATTGTTTGCCATCTGATTGTAGCCAACTTACTCTTTTAAACACATTTTTAGTTACTTCCTTCCTTTGCCCATTCCTTAAGACAAAGTAAGTCATTCTTACAAAGAATAAAATGTCCAAGTTATTGTACTTTTTAAAAATAAGGTTCTATGACAATATTATAAATATAGCAAACCCACTAGATTGAGTAACCAAGTTCTCCCACTTTGTATACTTCTACTACACTTCCATTTTATAAGATTAAACATAAAATTTTAAAAGAAGCCTCAAATTAACTAGCTAAATAATTTTGTCGCATATCTTTATATTGCAAGAAAATATTTATAAAAATATCATTATAACTGGCTGGTATTCCACTTTTTTCTTTTAATTTTAAGGATCAATTTTCCTCTTGAATTAAAGTCACTTCCAAGGGAATCCATGCTGACAATAAAACTGTTTGGAATTAACTGTGCAACCAACAATGCAGATTTATTGGCCTGGACCTGTTTCCCATTGTTTCCAAAGGAGTAAGTATATCATTTGTGATTAATAAAGTTCACATCTTAATAAAAACCTTCTTGCCACTAAATATTTTATAGCATATAGCATAATGAGAAAATCTGAAGTTGAGGTAGCTCAATATAAATCATGACTACTAAAAGCAAAACTAAAAAGCAACTTGTAGAAAAGATTTTAGGAATAGACCTCATGCTCAACTTGCCAACTGGGTCACTTAAAATGAAGAGGTATTGGCATGTGCAATTTCAATTGTTTTTCCTTCTCTGACCAGCAATTTCTCTGGATTTAGTGATTCAAAATGATTTAGATCAATGCTGTCACTTAGAAACAATGTCATGGAATTCTGGCTGAAGTAAAATTATAAAATGTAACTGATTTATTGACAACTTATTGGCAAAAAAATCTGGTAGTGTAAGATGATATTTTTCAGAAAAATAAACCAAATATGAGTTTAGGTTTTCTATCAGAACTAATTACCATAATAAAATTAACTATTCATTTTACCAGAGGATTTGGAGCTATTAATACTTAAAATATTTTTTAAGGAAAATTATTGAGGAAAAGCTAGTTCAAATAAATATGCTTAGTTATTTTTAACTGGAAAAAAGTTTCTTTAGAATCAAATTGTGAAATAGAGGACCTTCAAAAATTTACAACCTATATTGTAATTTTAATATTGTTATACCAAAAAAAAATCTACTAGAAATCTGACTATAGAATTGAGGGTAACAGAGGGGAAATGTGACAGATGGAGAATAAAGGGAATGAGGACCCAGTGGTAGAGGATTATTGGTGCCTTGTTGGTGAGCAGAGTGTGGTGACAGACATCTGAAGAGGTGTGAACCTATACTCCTAAATCCTATGCAGTGTTGTAAGCAATGTTAATGCAACAAAAAATAATAATCAAAATAATAATATTATTATTACAAAGAATGTTTCTGCCCTTGCTATTTTGAACAAATAAGATAATCTAAAAATGTCAAGAATTTTCATCAGTTTTTAGCTCCCATACTTAATTGTAAATTATCATCAGAGCAGTCATAATACATTTTTAAATCTTTGTTTCATTTCTTCTGATCTGGGTGTATGTGTGTGTATTATTCTATTATTTGTTTTTACACAATAGTCAGTTTCTACATATGTTTCTTGAGGACAGGGAATGGTTTTATCTTTGTAATATCTGTTATCTATATAGTACATCTGATAAATAAGCTATGAGTAGCTGATTGTTTACTAAAATGAATCAGAAAAATATCAATTCCTATAGGAAACTTAGAATGAAATAAAATTTCCAAAGTCTGTAAGAAACAGTTTAGTTTTAAAAGGAATACCTACTGCTGTTAGCAGATATTTCAAAAATCTGATTTGTGGGCAAAGAACTTTCATTACTCTCTCACAAGAAGCAGCTACACAGGTGCCCTTACTTCTTATGAGTGAGTTTCTTTAAAGCTTCAACTGAGTATTTGTAAGATCTAGCATATTTTCAGAATATTTCTAGCTCTGCATTGAAAACAAATTTCCTGTTTTATTCCCTCCAGTCATGTTACATAACAGGCAATCGATAATGTTAAATATGTAAGGAGTTTGTAATATTTTTATCTCTCAAACTAATCTTCAAGGTGTTTTTATATATGGTTATAATAGTAAAAATACTGCTTCCATGTTGCTATGTCATAGATCACTTACCAACATTTCATATGTGAGTGATTACAGAAAGTCATCATCTTTAAGGCATGCCATCTGGGACTGACACTAGGTCATGTTTTCCTAAAGGAAAATGTCAAAATTGTGGGTGATGAAACATCAGAAAACTTACTCTGTAGAACACTTTGATAAGCGTTGGTAAATATATGTTTAATTTCAATATTGTACAGTTTCTATAATTAGAAAAAAAAAAACAAAATCTGAGGCACTAGGAGAACAAATGGGCCTTTAGATCCCCATTTCCTTAAGCAATAAAATTAAAAAGATTCTTAGGGATATTACAGAATATTTTGAAATATTATAGTAAGCAGTGTAGTACTATTTCTAATGACAGCTTATTCACAATCTCAGAGTAGACAGTGATGAACAGTCCTGCTCATATGTGTTGTGGAGATGGCATTTGAGGTACTGGAATACAACCTAATGCCATCATCTCACCTTTTACTCTGAAATCTATACTCAACCACCAAACCATGTGAAAACAAAATAAAATTCTTTAACAACTATTGATTTCATCTAAGGGCTCAAAGAAGTTAAGCTAATTAGGGCTAGTTAATGGAGAGAGTACAGATGTCCTTCTATAAGTGTGATGTTCCTTCCATGATGTAAAACTACTTCCTGTATCTCCTGCCTTTATTATGTGTTTCTTCATTTGCTTAAATTTAGCTGACTTAATAAACCTTATCACAATAGTAATAAAAATACTACTGGTGGTCCCCACCTGGCTGGATATTAAAGTTTTCATTTTCATCTCTGAGACCACCAACATTCTTACATACATTCTTTGACACCTTAATTCCATTAATCTTTCCCATCATCATGTATTCTATTTACAGAAGTCTACGGAATTTTATTTTCCTATCATACTTGCTATATTTAAAAAGATGTTTAGGTATAGTCCATTATCAGAAGTTAAATTAGCTAACATCAAACACAAGAGAACCCAAAGGTTAATGATAAGTATCATTTGCTCCTGGAATTGCCTTGAAATGTTTGTTGTGTTAGTCCATTTGGAAAGCTAGAAGCTCTTTCTCCATAGGTTTTATAGCTGTGTCCTTCCTACAAATACTTGAATAAATGTTCAGACCTCATTCTGTCCCATTCTGCCTCAGGGTGATTGTGGATCCAAAAACCACTGAGGACAAAAGTAAGAAATACTAATAGATTCTTGAGTCCTCTTATCCTCTGTAGGAGCTAGCTTAGATCATTCAGATTTTCATAGTGAAGCATGGCTAAGGGACATAAAAATAGTAAGTCCATAAATATGACTCATTATATATAGCTTAGATATAAAGAAAGTATAATTACTATATCACACATTTCCTCATGAGTTCCTACCCTGTAACAAATGAGGGAAAAACTTTGTCCATCAATATTAAAAAAGTCAATTCAGTAAATAGTCCTCTTGGAAGTATGCAATTTATTTTGAATAAAATGTTCACTCAGCATTCTAGCAGCCCAATTCTCTTCCTTTGAGAGTACAAGGATAGACAGGATCAAAAAAGAAACATGTCTATTGGCCTAGTGACTTCTGATATTCCAATTAAAAGAAATTTTAAGCTGACAACTGCATATTACAGCTTGTACACCCGTGTGTGGCTCCCCTAGCTTGACCAGTACTTACTGGCTCTGCCTGGGCAGCTTGAGCTCTCCTAGGCACCACAAACCCTCAGGTTTACCTGTACTCCCACTAAACATTCTCCATCCAATCTGCCACATACCCCTCCCTCCCTACTATTAACTGTTTACCATGGGCTGGCATTTATATTTCCATAAATACTATGAAGAAGGTTAACATATGAGCTCTCCAAATTTGGTGTTAAAATACCCCTTCTTTCTCTTGCAATCTCCCTGAAAATCCCAAAATCTCGCTAGATGGAGGGGGGGGAGCCTAAGACTACATGGGGAAGGCTATATTATATACTCTGAGAGACTAAAGCAGAAATCACATTAATAATTTTATAATCTTTACCCTGATTAACCTAACCTCACCTAACTTTCTCCAGGGATGGAGAGATGAAAAAGGGATGATGAAGACTCAATCGCACTAAAAGAATATTCTTGGGTCACATAAAAATAACTGCTTAATACTGTTTATAATTTATACTCCCTTGGGCAGATACTTTCTAACTAAATACAGAATATTGAAATGAAGATGAAATAGGAATATGGATATGGTAAATAAAGGCGGCAGGCCTCGGAATACTAAAGGCTTAAAGAAAACCATATATGTTGGGGTTTTTTTCTTTCATATTTTGTACAGTATATGTTAAATGGTAAAATGGAATTCTATGTTGTTTTCAAAAAGGTTGACTTGATGCTTTAAAGTCCTTATAAACTTAAATTTAATTTTTCTGACTTTCAGTTCTACATTTTTAATTTGGTATATTAAAATCATAGACTTTTCTTAGTGATCACTGGAGTGTTTTACCAATGATCTAATTCAGATATATATCACCAGGTATAGTTTCTCTTTTAATTACCATGTGGATTTATGTTTCTGAAGATGTTGAAACCATCCATGCATTCTTCCTATTTAAAGTCATTCACTATGGTAATTTATAACATATTTTAAAACATTCAGAATATGAATAATTTTTCAAGTTTTGCATAAGAGAGTATTTCCTCTGTGAAGTCCCATAACTATTTTGATTCTGCAGATCATATGCAAATTCACATCTTTTCTTTCCATATATTTAGAGCTCACATCTTTCAAGGTCCTCAGGGATGTTAGCTACTCATGGAGCAAAAAAATATTCTAAAGAGTTAACATCTTTATTCACTTGTCATAACTCCAAGAATGTAAATCTGAGATCCTTAGCCCCATCTTGTAATCACAATTGTTGGAAATTAATAAATGTTACTTGTTGGGAAACTGTTGTGAAAAAATTTTCTCATATGGAAAATAAATGTAGGCATATATGAACATAGCCATGCATGTGTAGTATTAGAAAAAATGAGCTATTTACCAGTCAATAGTTAATCATCATTAATAATTCCCCTAGGCTTGTGGACTATTGCATTTCTCTTCAGGCTACTGAATGAAACCACAAAATAGCTAATTAGATAAACATTCAAAGAAAACATTTTTTGTTGTTAACAGTTTCCTTCATAATATGACTCCTGTATTTCTCTATCTGTCTTCTCTTGCAGCAAATCTATTCGTGGGTCAATGCTATTCAGCATGACATTACAGAGTGAGCCCCTCAGAGAAATGATAGCTCCAGGAGTGTGGGATGCAAGTCAGCCATCCCCATTGACCCTGCAGGTAAGTGCCAGGCTATGAGAGTAAAGTACAAACAGCAAGTGTTGCCAATAAATGGCTTGTTGTCAATGACAGAAAATCTATTGTTCTAGAATCACACATTTATATATATATATATATATATATATATACACACACTTATATAAAGTATACTTATATAAAGTGTGTGTGTATATATATATATATATACTTTCTACATCATCATTCATTCTCCTCACAGGTGTAGTCCCTACAAATTTCTACCACCAAGATACCTGTGAACCATCACCAGGTCTCTTGTGCTCCTCCCTCCCCCTCTCCAGCTAAACGTCTCTGATTTATCGTTAGCCTGCTAGTTTTCTTTTTTCCCCTGACCCCTTGTTTGTCTTCCCTATGTTCCTCCTGTAAGTGAAACTATCTGATATTTTTCTCTTTCCTTCTGACTTATTTTACTAAGCATAATCCCTTCCAGCTCCATCCATGTTGCTGTGAATGGCATGAGTTTATCTTTTTTGATTGCTGAATAGTATTCCATTGTATGTACATATAATTGTCCAACCACTATGGAAAGCTGTGTGGAAGACCCTCAAACTACTGAAAATGGAGCTACCATATGACCCAGCAATTCCACTTCTAGAGATCTACCCAAAGGTGACAAAAACATTAATTCAAAAGGAAACCTACATTCCTATGTTTACTGTAGCACTATTTACAATAGCTAAGATATGGAAACAACCTGAATGCCTAAAAACAGATAACTGGATCAAGAGTCATAATTTTTTTTTTAAGATTTATTTATTTATTTATTTATACAAGAACCGGGATATAGGCCAGATGCACAGGAGGGTGAGAGGATTCACCAGAGACAGAGCAGGAGCAGAACAGGCAGACTCACGAAATACACTGCTGAGCGAAGCAGCGGGCGAGACAGGAGAGGTCTGCCGCGCTACGTGGGACCCTCGCTGGCTGGTTGGGATCAAACCAGCACTGCAGAGGCTGTGGACAGCTTCACAGCACAGTGGTCAACCGCCTGCACCACCAGGGGAGGCCCAAGAGTCATACATTTTAATGATTCTTTTCTTCTAGCATTCTGGAATTTGTAAAACTTCTGTTGCTTTGATTTTGCATTCACTACTCTCAAAGCACTTTTCTTCTGGGTTATACATTAGTAATTTCAAGCCATTCTCCACCAGATACACCAGGAAGGGTGGGAATGGTGTTTTGTCATTAGTATATCCATTATGCACATTCGTTTTCCTTTCCATTGTCTAAAAGCAGTCATTAGTACATATTAACTTAGTGCCTTATTCATACCTTTGTCTGCATTTTTTCCTTAAAATTATGTGATGTTTCCTTATAATCTTGCTATGGCACATTTCCTAAATGACTAACAATTAGCAGAGTAGTAGGAGAGAAATTGCAAACAAAAGTCTATCACACTTTCTTTTTTCTTCTTAAAAGCTTTCTTCTCTCTGATTTGTGTGCATGAATAAAAGTGCTTAAAGACTGTGGGATCTGCCCCTTACTGCTGAAATTTCCTCATTTGTTCACAATTGTAAGTACTTATATTGGTCAGATAACTGAAGCATAGTCATTCCTGTGCTTGGAAAAAACAAGGAATATGGACTTTCTGTCTCTATGGAAAAAAAAACTGGAAACTGCTATCTGGGTAGCACTTTACAGAACAGGATTTCTAAACTTTGGCACCATTGACATTTTGGACCATATACTTATTTCTTTGTGCAGGGGTTAACCTGTGCATTGTAGTAAATTTGCTTCATCTTTGGCTTCTATCCACTTGATGCTGGAAATATTTCCCCTGTTCTGACAATTGAAAATTCCTCCAGATAGTGTCATATGTCCTCTAGGGATAAAATTGCCTTCAAGTGAAGATCAATACTCTTGAAGGTACTAGTGAAATTTCTAGGATCTGGGCCTCCCTGGTGGTGCAAGGAGTTAAGCATCAGCACTATGAAGCTATCTGCAGCAGCTACAGCATGAGTTCGATCCCCGGCCAGGGAGCTACCCACATGATGCAGCAGACCTCTCCTGTCTTGCCTGCTGCTCCCCTCAGCAGTTTATTTCAGTCAGTCTGCCTGTTCTTCTCCCTACTCTGTCTCTGGTGAATCCTCTCACCCCCCACACCTCTGGCCTACATCCCAGCTCTTGTATGCATAAATAAATAAATCTTTAAAAAAATTTCTAGGATCCTGTGTTTCCAGATTTGGGGTGCAAGGAATGCTAAGTAGTTCAGTAAGATGGATGGCAAGATGTTGAAAATGGAAAGAAAAACTAATACTAACATAAGTGTGACTTCCAGACTGAAAAAGAGAGGAATTACCCACCAGTTGGTACCCAAAAATCAACTTTTAATCTGTGGACATATTGCAATATTAGAGTTCAGGGTTAGGGTTAAGGTTAGGGCTAGGGTTAGGGTTCCTTCAATTAACTTCCTTTAATTATTGGGTATGCCTTTTCTCCTTAACCAGACTATACGTTCTCCAAACATGATAGATGTTTTTTACATCCTCCATAACAAATTGTGCTCAAAGGAATTCTAGAGCAAATATATGAACACATAGTTTTGGGCAACTTCTCTTGCATAAAATTAGAACAAAAAGGCAACTGAAAGAAGCTCCAATGATTTTCTCTCAGTGACTCAAGAATCAATCACTATTTAGCTTCATTATATATGAAAAAAGGCAGTTTTAGACAGGGATTCATTTATGTATCAGAAATAAAGAAAATTACTTTATAAGTGAAACACATCAAATAATTTTAGATTTATGTATAGTAATACTTCTGTAATCTCATCCACTATCTTTAGTTTCCTCCACAACCTTGCCTTTTACTTGGACCAACTTAAAATTGAACTAACTCATTAGTTTGTTTTTTTTTTCTTTTTAAAGATTTATTTTTATTTATACAAGAGCTAGGCTACAGGTCAGAGGCATGGGAGGGTGTGAGGATTCACCAGAGACAGAGTGGGGAGCAGAATAGGCAGACAGACCCAAGACACTGCTGAAAGGAGTAATGAGAGAGGCAGGAGAGGTCTGCCATGCCATGTGGGTATCTCCCTGGCCAGTGGGGAATCAAACCCACACTGCAGAGGCTGTGGACAGCTTCACAGTGCAGTGCTCAACCCACTGCACCACCAGGGAGGCCCTCATTAAATAGTTATTATAGAATTTTTGTTCCACGTGTTCTAAAATGTTTGCATACAAAATAAACTAACACATAACATGCTATAACTGTATGCATTTCCCTCTAAGGTACCAAAATTAATCTTTCTGCCAAGAGGCAAAGTTTACTGTAATAATGCTTTGATTTAGCTTATCTATTCTTGCTTCTTTTATCATGGTGAAATTATAAATGACATATGATAACAAAAAAATCATGCCAAAATATAATACAACAAATGTTAGAGGTTTCAGAATAAAATAGCTAAATAAAATATTTTCAAATCATTAAGTTTCAAAATGAGTTCAAACTATAATTCACAGTTTACTTTATAATGCACCTCAACTTTCTCTGAGATCCCAACCTGTAATAGGTAACAGAGTTAAATTATTTCTGTTGATTTTCTAATATGAAAATGAAAATATTGTGTATGATAACCTTAAGCAAATATATAGTATATAGAGCACTACAGTATCTAGCTCATTTATGTACTTTGAAACTGTATTTTTGTGAATTGTTATTTACTAAAATCAAATTATCACAGAAACATGGTTTAATGGAAAGCACTTTGAGTCAGGAGTAAAGGACACCTGCAGTTTAGCCCTATGAATCTGAACTACAGAGTGAAGGCAGAAATATTCTGATTATAGACTTGTAAAACAGATTCATCAGAGAACATATCACTGTCATATCTACAATGTGGTTCTTGGACATATAGAATTCATGAAGTAGAGACAATGTTTTGATTTTCCCAAGTAATTACATGAAAAAGGTAAAATTACCATCTAAAATTTTCATCATTTCAAAATAGAACTGTTTTAATACTAAAAATTTGAAAGGATATGATTTCAGTATTTAAAAATGTAACACATTGAATTTCTTCAAAAATTTGCATATATTTTCTCATATTCTGACAACACTGCTTGTTACTAATTTATGTCATTTGTATACATAATTGAGGATTTATCAAAAAATTAAATACCAAGCCCAAAACTTGATTCTTTAAAACTTATTTTAAAAATTATAAATAGTACAGAAAATTTAGGAATTTTCACTTAATTTCTATAAATCTTAATAATGCATTTCAAGACATTCAATACATGGCAAATCACTTTATTTCAGATCGATTTTCCAACGAACAAATGGGAGTATGTGAACCTTGATTCTGAAGAGAATAGAAGCAATCTGGAAGAACCACCAAAAGAGTGTTTAAAACATATTGCCAAACTTTCACAGAAACAGTCTCCCATACTGTAAGTCACCTAGGTTTTGTGAGTAAATTTTGCCTGCTGTTCATGACATCAGCATTCATACATGAAGCGCTCATATCTTTAGAGAGTGAAACTTCCTTTCCATATTACTGCTTTCATGTCCTAACTTTGCACATTTTATATGTATAATCAATTAATGTTCAGGAGCTAAAATAGTAATATTGTATGATTTTTAAAGAATATTTTTCTGTGATATTTAGCAACTGCTTGACTTTTGTCAGAGGTAAAATGCAAAGATTAAAAATCATTCCATTCATAACAATAATGTAGAAAGTAGTTAAATAGGCAAAAACTTATTTTAGTAGACAGGAAAAGCCAACTAGAATTATCATTACTGATTTTAAAAGAACAGAAGAAAATCATGTTTTAATAGCACCATATTAGTGACTAAGAGCTATTTAAATTTTTTCAAATATTAATTTTCTTAAAACCAAAATACCAGGAAGAGCAATAAGGGAATTAGTGGCATCTATACTTACTACAAGGCAACAGCTAAGCCAGAGCTAATTGTTCTCATTAATGAGAAACCAAAAACATAAAACTAAGAAAGTAAATATGTGTGTATGTGTGTGTGTGTATACACTCACATATATAGTAATAATATATATGATAAAACACTTTACTCCAAGAATAAGAAATCATTTAAAGGTTTTCAACAGGGAGTTATTATGTAATCTGAATACCTTTTTGAATGATCTTTTGACCAAAGGTGAAGGAAGGATTAGAGAGGGAGTAAGAATTGAAGTAAGCAATATAGCAAAAAGATTACTATTTTAGGCCAATGTTGCTGTGACTAGAACTAGGATAATAGCAGGGATATGGGTAGAAAAGGCCAGAATTGGAAATGACTATTTGGAAATTGAGAAACATGACTTGGTGATTAATAATTAGGGGGTAAACCCCTGAGAAACTATGGAATCAAGTTAAGTCAAGAGAGAATCCAAGGTTTTGATTGATCAACTGGACAGATATAGAATCATTCTCTGGAAGAGGACCAAATTTGGGCCATCCACAACTGAGGTACTGAGTATGATCAAATGTTTGGGATAAACTTGTTACAGACCTGTTCTCTAATTTCAGCTCATGTTATTCTTCCTCTTTCACTTTCAGTGATTGGTATCCGTCTCCTCCATGTACTTCAAATGTGATTGTGCTTCTCCCACATGAAAGTCTTTTTATTTGGTGCTCTCTCTACCTTAAATGCTCCTTCCTAGTACTTCACATGGTTGAATCATGTCATTTTGAAGGTTTTTACCTAAGTGTGATTTTCTGAAAGAGGCCTTCTTTTCTGATATCAGTTACCTTATCTGATGAAACTTCTCTTTACTCTCTACCTTCATGATATTATACTCCATACAATCTGTTATTATCTTGTTTATTAATGTGTGTTTTGTCATTGTCTTCATTAATTGTAAGTACTAGAAAGTTAAGGAACCTATACATCTTGTTTATTTACAATTATCTACATTTACAATTCAATTCACTGCCTGACAATAGCATGTGTAAAATAATGTTATAATGAATAAACTTCCTTTGTATAATATCTGGTAAGAAAAGTTAGCTTAAAGTTTGAAGGTGATAGAAATTCTCATAGTCCCCAAGATACATATTTTCATGATTAATTTTACTTGATACTATCATCTTAACTAAAGAAAGCATCTTTTTTGTTAATTACTCAAAAATATAAAAGTCTACATTTAACAAATATGTCATGTTATTGAATAATATATTTATGAGATATTTTAATATGAAAAAAAGATGCCATGCTTTGAAAATTTAATATCAGTTCCTATTTAAGTGAATAATTTACACATAAAACAATGTTTTCTTCCTGTTTCACCTACTCAAATACAATCATTTGTGCTCAGTACAGTACAATTTCATTCTGGACTGTAAAAAAAAGAGAACAACCTTCAGGGTGATAAAATTTGTATTAGAATCAAATTAATTTCAATTTCAAAAATACTAGATTTTATCATTTAGTTGGTAACTTAATTATTCTTTCACATTGATCAAATGTAATTAAAGTCAGGAAGCTTATACTTAATGAAATTCAATAAAGACATAATTACAATATTTGTAAACACTTTTTAAAATTCTTGATGCCAGCTATAAGAGTGTTTCTAGATATAAAGATCCAAGAATAATCCTCCTGATTAAAGAAATATGATACAAGAAAAATAATATGAAGCAAGAGCTTTCAGAAATTGGACAGGACTATAGGTGAGTCCATTAATAAAGTGGCTTTTAGAGCCCAGAGGCACTTTCTACATCATGAATTTGAGGGATAAAATCAAAGAAGAGTATCCAGACCTTGTTGAGATTAACAGAAAAAAATTCAGAGATCAGAGGCAGCTGGTATTTATAAAGTATAATACTAAAGAGAAGGAAGGTATATAAAGTAGGAGCTACAGAAATATATATTGTAATCCCCTTAATATTAAATTGAGTATTAAGCTAATCATAAGCAGGCAGACATTTTATGGGTCTGGCAAAAGAACCATTACATGGAGATGTGAAATAAATGTATATTCCAGAGGTTGCAAAATGCTGGGAGACAAAGAAAATCTGACCAGTAAGAATGAAGAAAGATCACAGAAACCCAGGCATTTAGTAAAGAAACCAAAAAGATGCTTATTAGGAGGAAGTGTACTCTAACCCAAGATCAAGGACCATTCTAGGTATAACTTAACAAACAGTATGAACAGATCTCAAAAGGATTAAATTGATCTGCTAGTAGTTAAACTATGGAAACAATGAAACATTCAATACCCAAAACATAGCAAAATGCAGACTCTCAATAGTTCATTATAGATGCTTTTTTAATATAGCATTTTAAATGTTCAGTGTATGAACTATAATTGCTAGACATGTGAAGTCAAGAATAACAATAGAGGGCCTCCCTGGTGGCGCAGCGGTTGAGCGCTGGGTTGCGAAGCTGCCCGCGGCCTCTGCAGCGCTGGTTCGATCCCCAGCTGCTCCCCGGCCACCGGAGGAGGGTCCCACATGGCACGCAGACCTCTCCTGCCGCCCGCTGCTCCCCTCAGCAGTGTACTTCGGTCCTTCTGCCTGCTCTGCTTCCCGCTCTGGATCTGGTGAATTCTCTCACCCTCCTGCGCTTCTGACTGTTCCCAGTGCTTATACAAATAAATAAAAATAAATAAATCTTTAAAAAAAAAAAAAAAGAATAACAATAGACCAGTACTGGGAGGGAGGTAGTGACAGAAATTAATAGACACAGATCCAAAGATTTTTAAATTAGTAGACAATTATTTCAATTATTACACAGACATCTATAGGTATATGAGAAAAAATATGTGACATCTCAGTAAAGAAATGAAAATTTTAGAACAAAATGATATCTAAATATTAAGTCACTTTTTTTAAAATTTTAATAGACTGCATAATGAAGAAAGAACAAAAATTATCCATGCTAAAATATAGAAAGTAAAAAAACATTCTGAAAATAGTGATAGAAAAAATATTTGAGACCTATGGCATATGAAGCAATGTAACATATATATGTAATATATATGTGTTATATATGTGTATAATGTATAATTTAACATATATGTTACATGCATATATAGGCACAGAGGAGAGGAGATAGTCAAAATTTTACAAATTTGATTTACAAATCAACACAAGTATATAAGAAATTTAGCAATTCATGCATGTGCACACACACAACCAAACACATTACAGTCAAATCTCTAAAATTCCTAAAATGTTGAGGATAAAAATTTTAAATCCATCAGAGAAAATGAACAAATTATACAGTTGGGGAGACTTATTATAATGACTGCAAATTTTAAAATGAGAAACAATGAAAGTCAGTGATTAGGGCATTACCTTGCCTCTTGAAGGGGAAAAGAAATGTCAACTTAGATTTCTGTAACAGCAAAATTATATTTCAAAAGTGAGGTAACATGAAGAGATTTCAGTTAAAGAAAATTGAAACTTATCAGCTCCTCTTTACTATAAGAAATCTTATAGGAAATGTTTCAAACTAAATTACACTAGATGGAAACTCAAATCTACTATAAATAAATAGCAGCAAGGAAAAAAATAGGTAGATAACAAAAATACTTTTATTTATTCATTTTTTAATTTCTTTTAAAAATAGTTAACTATTAAAGCAAAAATGATCACCATGTGGCCTCCCCTGGGGGCGCAGTGGTTGAGCACTGGGCCGCGAAGCTGCCCGAAGCCTCTGCAGCACCAGTTCGATCCCCAGCCACCGGCGAGGGTCCCACATGGTGAAGCAGACCTCTCCTGCCACGCTCGCTTCTCCCCTCAGCAGTGTATTTCGTCAGTGTGCCTGTTCTGTTCCCTGCTCTGGCTCTGGTGAATTCTCTCACCTTCCAGCGCTTCTGACTATACCCAGTGCTTATATAAATAAATAAATAAACAAATCTTAAAAAAAAATCACAATGAACTGCTGTGTTTACGATACATAAAATAAAATGTGTAACAACAAAACCAACGAGAAATAGGAGTATATTGCTAAGGTCCCATTGTATATGTCAATCAGTATAATAATGATTCATGGTTGACGCTGATATTCTAAAAAGTTTATTATAATCTCTAGAGAAACTACATCACATAAATTTTAAGGATATATTTCAAAACCAAGAAGGAGATTAAAATAAAAATTAAAAAATAATTTAAAAAATTCAAAACAAATAAGGGAACAAGAAAGGAGATGGACATAAGAAAAGTAATATCATTATGATTGCATTAAACTCAGCCATGTTAATAGCATGTTAGATGTAAATATAATAGAAATTTCAATTAAAAGGCAGAAATCATCAGTCTACATTACAAAGGCAGTATCTAACGTCATCCCATTTAGAGACATATTTTAAAATGTAAGAATATGGCTATATTAAAGTTGAAAGAATGAAAAATATAAAAGGAAAATAAATCCATCCCAATAGATTTTAAGAGAAATATTTTACAAATTCAAGTCATGTTTAAAAACTTATAAAATTAGAATCAGTATGTAACTTCCTTAACCTTAAAATCTATAGTTAAATCTAAACCTATGGAAAAATATAGTTGGAAGTCATAGCCAATACCCTATGGCAAGGAAAAAATTAAGATACAATAGTTCTAAAGAAAGAAATAAAACTGTCTCTATTTTTAGATGACATGATTATATAAGGTGATAGCATGGAGATCAGTTTACAAAATGCAGAGTAATTATCCAGTGGATAATAAAAAAATAAAGTTTATTTTAAAATTTATTTTACCTCTATACTAAAAAGTACAAAATTTGTAACAGAAATTAAAAGAAACCTAAATAAATAATAGGATATACCAAGTCATTGATTCTATCCAGTTAGTGGTAGGTACCACTCTTTAGATACCACTATTGACAATTTAGAATAGACAGTATTTTTAAATGAAGAAAGTCAAGTATTGGCAAGAATGTGATACAACTTAAACTATCATGCCCTTCATACAAGAACAAAAAAATTTACAAACACTTCATAAAATAGTTTGGAAATTTCTTTAAAAGGCAAACAAACACCTGCCATATAACCCAGTCATCCTTTCCTCAGTACTTCTAGGAAAAAATAAAAAAAATGACCATGTAAAAACTTGCACAAAAATGTTCAAAGCAATGTTAAATTCATAAAATCCCCCAAACAGGAAACAACTCAAATTTCTATCAAATAAAAAAAGTCTAAGTAAATTGTGTTATAATCATGCAAAGTACTAATACTCATTAATTAAGAGGAATAAATGACAATATGGACAATTAACATTATCCTCGGTGGAAAAAGGCCATAATTAAAAGGATATTTACCTAATAATTCACTTATGTGAAGTTCAAAAATAAGCAATATTAATTTGAAGTGAAAGAAACTATACCAGTGCTTGCATCTGATGGCATGAGAATACCACTTCATACCTTGATAAGACTTTCATCCACTATATGTATTGGTCAAACTTTACTGAACTGAAACCGTGCATTTCCTTTTATGTAAATTACCTCCACTAAGAGAAGGCAAATGGGGGAAAACACACAATATTCAATATTGGAAAAAAAGGAATTTAATCAGAATAAAATAATCTATTTTAGTAATTTTGTTATGGAAATTTTTCTTCAGAGGGCTTTCTGGTGGGAAAGGTAGTGACAAAAGAAAAGTTCCAACATACATAAAACATCACCTATTATCCAATCTTTTTATTTTGAAGATGAAGGTGGTGTCAAAAAAAAAGCTGTGAATAAATATTCACCTTTAAAATACTTTAATAGATCTCATCACCCTTCTTGGGAATTTTAGTTAATCTAAACTAAGCAAAAGATTGTCAGTTTGGAGGAGACAGTATTCAAAAGCTGTCATTGTCATGTGAAAAATGCTGTCCTCCAGTTGAACTGTGGTTCTGAATGCTTCTGCTGCAATCACTCCTTGGCCTTTTGGCTAAGATCAAGTGTAGTAACTGAATGTTTCTGCTGGAGTGTGAGCAAAACACTACAAACTGTTAGAGTCAATGTCCTCACTCCTAGATTAAAACCTTCTGTTTGAGACACTCTCCAAGGGGAAATATTTAGCATTTAAGTTAAAATTCACTGGCATTTTAAATCCAAACTTTGAGCAAACTGAGAATTTAAAGCAAGAATTTAGGGATAAAAAGATATATTTCTGCAATCTGCAGTGAATCACCTGAACTCTGATGAAACTTGCTCTAAGATGAGAACTACTGTCTTTAAAATATGCTACTTTTTCACAAGGGCCTCTTGGATCGAAGTTAATTTGTAAAGAAAGTAAAAAAGTTAACAGTTGATTTGCCTCTGTTCTAAGTATTATAGGTTGCAGGTTTCAGATAAAGACTTAACCCTAAAGAAGACAGAGATTTTGCTAACCAAAATGACATTTTCTAAAAAATGGAAAGAATAGGACGGAGAAAAAAGAAATCATCTAAACAATAGTTTTATATTTTATTTTCTGCAAGAGAGTAAAATGAGTTGTAAATGCACTGATAAAATAACCTATCACACTATCCCAAGAAGATAAAGGACTTGTTTTCTAAAACAAACTAAAAGAAAATACAAAGAATTAGGGTAAAGTTTTGTACTGTGTGTTTACTGCAACAGTGGTCAGTATAGCCAACTCCAGTAAATTAGTTTCCAATCTGGTTTCACAGACTCTCTGAGGAAAAGAGAAGATACCTGTGGTATTATCGCTTCTACTGTAATAATGAAAACTGCTCCCTTCCTTTGGTCCTGGGTAGTGCCCCAGGATGGGATGAAAACACAGTGTCAGAAATGCATGCCATTTTGAAAAGATGGAAATTTTCTCATCCTTTGGAAGCACTTGGGCTTTTGACATCCAGGTAAGAATTGCATAACAAGAATTATATTACTAATTATGAAAGGTTTGTTCAAAGAAAAAAAAAATGGACCATATGATTCATTCAAAAGCTTTTCTGTTTGTTACCAAGTTCGATAGCTATGCGTACGAATGTAGCTAAATATTATAGTAGAGTGTACCATTAGTATGCTAATGATAATAATAAAATGAAAAAATCTATCCTTTATATATTCTCCAGAACTTCCTGCAATAAAATGTAGGAGTAGGGGTTTCTATGGGAGAATGGAGGAATGGTGTATTCTATGCAAGGAGAAGCATGTGGGAACCAGTGTGGTAGGTGAATGTGGTTTGGGAGATGCAGGTTTTCATTGACTTCCATTTTATTTTCAAACCCAAAAAGAGATATTTTAAGTCTGTCTTGATAGCGTTAACTCACTGATGCCTTGAAGAAAGCCTGCAATCTCTAGATCCAGAGATGAATTGTGAAATCTAGCTTTATTCTGAATTCCCTTTTAAGGTTGTGAGGCAAGGAAAAAGGTGGCAAAGAGATGACACAAAGGACTTTTTAAACTGATTTCAGTTTATTTTAAAAATAGTGCCCTTGGGATAACTAATAGGAAAATGTGGGTTTTTTTCCCCCAGTATTTTCAGTTACTTATTTCCTCTCAATCTGCTAAATTCAAAGTTTACAAATCATTTTGGAAACTTATTTTTTTTGGTGCCATTCACATTGAAGATTTACCTAGTAAAATAAATGTTTCTCTTTGTTGAGCTTGGAGCTTCTTCCTTCTTTCTAAAGCTTCCTTTGTGGAGCTTTTCCTGATCTTGCCAAATCACATTGATCACTTCTGTCTAGTACATTACTCTATTACTTCATAAGTGACATTTTATTTGTATATTTACATGCAACATGTGAAACATGGCATTTTAGCACATGTTAGACTCAGAGCTACTTAGGTAACAGTTCATCTTAGTGTTTCCGTATTCCAAAGTCTTAATGATATCGAGGAAATTGTAATTACTCAATATTAAATCAATAACTTTCTAAGACTGATTATGATTATACATGCCTTACGTTAGCATTTAAATTACAAGTTATTTGAGGGAATTATTGATGATATTTATTTTACCCATAACCTTGTACAGTTGAATGAATTAATGAAGTAATAAGGGAATCAATGAACAAATGATTGGATCACTCACAGTGCATGCCATGTTTTAAAAACCCTGATGGAAAAGATAAGTTCTCAATTCTACCTTATTTCTAAATTCTTTTCTTGATTTGGATATATAAGAATAGCCAAAATTTGTAAAATTATTTGTTTTATTCTTATATTTTTCCTCAGGTAAGACTTAGAATATTAGTACAACCACCATTTTGCCATCTCTGAACTGATTATCTGATAGAAAGTAGGTTCAAAATATGAAGGTAACAATTCACAGAAAGGAAAAACTATTGGCAAGTCATATATTTGATAAATGCATTGTACCCAGAATATATAAATACTCTTACAACTCAAATGATAAATAACCCAGTTTTAAAGTTGACAAAGGATCTGAGTAGAAAATTCTACAAAGAAATATACAAATGTCCAATAACACCTGAAAACATATTCATATGATTAACCATTAGGAAGAGCTGCTTTATGAACCAATAGTTTAACTCTTGAATATATTCAAGATAAATGTGAAATATGTCTCCTGAAAATTCATACACAAATGTTCAGATTAGCTTTATTCATAGTAATCAAAAAGTAAAAATAACCCAAATGTCTATCAAATAATGAATGTGTAAATAAAATATGGTCTATCCAACAATGTACTACTTTTTGATAGTCAACAGGAATGAATACTAATTTATGTTATTATGAATGAATCTGGAAAACATTATGCTAATGAAAGAAGCTAGCCACAAAAGACCACATAGAGGTCTTTCTATATTAGTTTTTTATATTTATACCATGTTTATAATAATTGTGCAGAATAGGCAAATCGATAGAGAAAGAGAGATTAGTGGTCTCGTAGGGCTCGTTGATGTTGGGGGAAAACAGGGATGACTATTAATGGGAATGAGGGTTTTCTTGATTATGGTTATACAACTCAGGGAACATACTAAAAACAATTGAATTGTACACTTTTAATTAGTGAATTATATGGCATTTGAATTATATCTTAATAAAGCTGTTGAAATTACTAAAGAATAATTGTAAAGGTGAAGTCCTTTATATGAATTTTATCTCTAAAGTATACTTTTTTAATGGGGTAACCTTCTGAAGTTCTTAAAGGGTCAATTGGGTTTTACTTGGCAATTAGTAATATTTTATTAAGATGTACCTTGCTCTATGCTTTAAAGACATTTAAATGTGTCAACTATTATTTTCTCTAAAGTTCATGGAATACTTCTTACAGTAGTATTCAGGATGAACATTATAATGCTGCTTAATTTTCTTGTTCATGAAGTAAATGGATTAACTGGAGGAATTTCAGTATTCTCTGATCCATGATAACTAAACATAATTCAAATTATAATAAGCCTACTCTTCCTAAACAGATGCTAAAAATGTATCTGACTCAATGTTTTACGAATACATATAACATGTTATTTAATGCCCCTTATTCCTACCTCATTTTAATATCCATAGTAATCCTACAAAGCAAATGCCATTATTAAAATTTTACCTGTGTGGAAATTGAGGCTTGCATGAGTTAAGTTATTTAATGTGTCACTAAGGAATGTGGAGTAGCTGCGTTAAATCTAGGTACCTATGAGATGTGACATTTGCAATCTTAACTTCTATGCTTTACACTATTCCTACATAAATAGTCTAAGCTATTTACATATTAAATATGCATTACTAAAATAGTTTTATTGTAGTAAATAGAAGTACTTAACTATATTATGCCCAAATATTTCTATTTCTTGTAATTTCTTTTTTTATATAATCATACTTTAAGAGGTTATAAGGACTATTTCAAGTACAGTGTTACTTAGTAAGCTTTGTTCAGGGAACTTAGTAGAAACTTGATTTATTTGCATATTGGATAGTTCCTTATGATACATTAAAGAAGGTCACTTGAAAAGATTGGAAAATTTTCATTGTACTCATCCTATGACTCCCACTCTCAGTTTAACTGAACTATTAAAAAACTTGAGGACAAGCTGTTTCCAGAAATGAACTTTTCAGCTCCTCTAAATTAGAAAGCTGACTTTTCTGAGAACAAACATTATGTGCTTGTTGAATTGCCAGAGTGAGTTCTTCAGAGATTTGAAATTTTTTCTCTTTTGAATAATCTATTTTTCCCAATGGCTTAACCTCTTGAGAACTGTTATGCTCTCTTTCTAGTTTAGAGAATTTTTAATATTCCTGTTTACTTAGTCCTGTCTAAAATTCACCACCTCTTTTTGATTTGTTTTTAGGAGGAGACATTTTGACATTTAATTTACCTAGTGTGGGCCATTGGGTGCTAATATTTCCACCACCTAGTGCCCAGTAGTGTTCTCACTGTGTGCTAATACTTCCATTAGAGAATCTGATGATGTCAGAAATCCAGAGACAGGGGTTAAGGTCTGTGGTTCTTGGCAGATGGCTGCTATTTTCTTGACCTCTCTGATGCATAGGTGCAATTAGTTAACTGCTAATAATAAGCAGAAATTATCCGAGGAATTAAAAGGCAGTTCGAGGAAAGTAGTCATTTAAAAATAGCAATTCTGAATTGGTGTCAGAGGATTACATCAGAAGCTTAAATAAAAATTTGACAAGGTACCAGAACTTGCCATCCCACATGATGTAAAATTACTGTTTTGCAGGAAGAATTGCAATACTTAACAGGCAGTTTCTTAGTTTCCAAAATCAGATTCCTTGGAAAAAATATTCCACCAATAAGTCTGTAACAAACCACTATATTCTTTATTGTAGAGATTAATTTATTCTGAAGCCTTTTTTGACTTTAATTACAAAAATGCAAAAAGGAATATGGAAAAGGGAGACAGCTATAACTTCTACATTTTACTAAATAATTGTGTGATAGATGATGGTGCACCTTTTCCATTTATTTATTGAACAAAAATATATGTATTTGGAAATAGACAAGTAATGAAGCAAAGAGAAAGAATAAATCATAGTGAATTTTTCTAAGAAACAATTTAGAGGGAAAGACTTAAGCTAGAGATAATCACACAATATATTCTATAATCAATGTACTAAATGCCATATGTACTCTAAAGAGAAAGGGGAACAGTCTTTCAGAGTACGTAAGGAAAGTCTCACAAAGGAATTGAATTCTGACTTAAAGTATTTATAGGAATTTCCTGAGTGGAGAAAAGAGGAAATGGCATTCCAACAAGAAAGGCTAGCATGTTGCCCCTGGCATTTTACTTGGGGAAGTACCACAATCAGATTAATGCCATACAAGTATAATGTTGACATTAGGTGAATGATGGACTGAAAAAAAAATTAAAAGTACCTTATAGGATAAAATAATTTTAAGAACATTCAACTAATGCTACCAGCCATTCTTATCATCCTCTTTATCTTAATTATAATTTTAAGATAATTTAGAGTTTTCAGATTCTTTCAGTGCCAAAATGTAAATATCAGCAAAGTATGGGAATTATTTCTGTTTGCTTAAAAAATATAAATTCACTTGTCAAAATTTATAGCATAATATTTAATATCTTAATAAATATTTCATAATTGATTACTGACATACAGTTTACAAAACACCTCCATAAGATGTTACATGACTTGATCTACAAAACAATCTCTTATTAATATTACTACCAACATCTACAATTTCCTCCAGTCTACTAATCTTCATTTTACAGGTGAAGAAATTAAAACCCAACATGTCCATTCATTCACTCTACAGCTATTTATTGATAGCTTACTCATGTTAGGAACCTCACTGGAGGGCCTCCCCTGCTGGTGCAGTGGTTGAGCGCTGGATTGCGAGGCTGCCCACAGCCTCTGCAGCACCAGTTCAATTCCTGGCCACCGGCGAGGGTCCCACAAAAAAAAAAAA